TTTCCCCTTTTCAATTGATTCAGGGTATAGAAAGTAGTTTCTTGATTTCCCCTTTGAATTAAAAAGAATCTAACTTCACACCGCAAATGCAGTTTTACACACAGTATTAACGCAAAAGCTGGCTGTTCCTCTACATATAGCCCTACCAAATTTTGGAAACTAAATATTTATTATTTTTGACATATTTTACTGCAGCAAGTATCCAAAAGCTGGTTAACATCAAACCAAGTTTCAAAAGAATAAATGTCCATATACACGTATTTTATCATTCAGATCTGCATGACTTTAATGCTTGTAATATAGAGTTGAATATACCCTGAATACGTGCAGGGTATTAAAAACTTATTCAGCTGAACACAAGCCGCTGGTAAGTAGGCTACAAATTTGGTTAGCTTTTAGCCAAATGAAATTTGCAGCTAAGTTTAATGAAAGGCAATTGAAAGTTTCCTTGGCTTGTTCAGTTCTGATTCAGTTACGCTCTTATTTAAACATTATTTAAAGCGAAATTGGGGCATACTTTGCAGAAACTTAAGTCTTTAGCAACAGCAAATACAGGAAATACTTTGCAATTCACAAGAAAAGAAAATGTAATGTGTAAGCGGCCTCGAGAAGGTGGGCTAAATTATAAATGTGCTTCAGCTGCCTCACGATGCAAATACTACCTTTTCGTATCAAAATGTTTTCACTTCTTAATGTAAGAGAGAATAGTTAAATTGAATTGCAATTTGAAGTCTTAAATCAACGGAACTAAAATTTGTTCAGGATATTTGCATTCAGCAACTTTTGGTGCAACAATAAAGATATTGGATGAACATAAATAATTTAGAGTAAGCAAATAAGCAATTCTATTGTGCATTTCATCCTGTCATATGCATGTATCCAGCGACAAATTGTTATTTTTTGATATTCTGAAAAAAACACATTTTCAATTGGTTCACAATCAATTTTAAGCATATATATTTTATGGGTTATATTTCTGTTTAACATTTTATTGTGGTTTTGTCCTGAGGCACAAATCCTGATTCGGATGCAGTAGCACCTAAACAATTTCAAATAAACCAATTCAACTCGAGGCAGTTACAGATGCTGCTTACAAAGGTTTTTCACAGCTTTTAGTTTTGTGCTTGTTTCTGTGGAGCTGACCGCATGCCCTTGGCTCCCGTGGGTAGCCTGAAGTATGTGGGAGAATATCAAAGGTGAAAGAGTCTTGGCTATTTATAGAATGGACAAAGTAAGTGAATAGACAAAGTATATATTTAAGCTCAAGAGATTTTAGCTAACTGTTGAAAGCAAATAATAAATTCGTCTGTTGCTTAAGAATTGATTTAAGTGAAATGTAATATTACTAATTCTCGATTTCATTCATTAAATGTGCGCTTTATGCACATATAGTTCTTGAATAAAAATTCAGCTGAATTATAAAACAATTTTATACAATGATTTATGAATGCTGTAATTACATATAACTGTGGTGGTGTTCAGTTCTGTAATGATCTTTATTCGTCTGAGCAAGAGTTCTTATACCCTGGCTCATGCGTATTTCGTCTCTTAACCTAATTACATTATGTAATGAGTGGAGCTCCAAGCGGGAGACATACTATGCTCTCCGCTATGTAGCTTCTTATATATAGCTTGTATATACTTATATGCATATGGCATAAACATTAGGCAAGTGGCATAGACCTTAGGCAAAGTGCGTACGCGGCATCTCCCACGCTGCTGGTCAGACCACACTTAAGTGGCTGATCATATTCCCATTGTTTATCTTAGCGCTCGCTCTATGTTTATGAGTAGGGACAAATGTCACTATATGCGTATTTAGTATACACTATCATATGTTTGGCATATGACGCATTTATATGTAGAATACTCTACATTGCTTCGGGTATTATGAATACGTTATTAATATACTACAGTATGTTCATGCCTGAACAAATGCTCTGAAAAAACGAAAAAAAAAATACATATATCCCTTATTGTTCATAAAACATATATATAAAAGTAGTTTTCCGATTTATACAGCAATTCAAAATATTTTTAAAATGAAAGTATGTTTTAACCAAATTTATGCAGCTGAATTATTAAAAAAATTGTATACAATGATTTATTTTATTTTGTACCATGATTTATCAAAACTCATAAAATAGAAGCAAATTTGAGTTATCTCTAACCAAATGCGAACTTTGGAAATACCGAAAATAATCCTCGGTGGCTGATGGTGGACAATATGCAGGATGAGATAACAGCTCATAGATGAATATATATGTATGTATATTGTATATGTATGTTTTAAAAGCAAGCTAAAAGTTGTACTAAATAAATTTTTTTTTTTAGATTTTAAGCAATTATGAAATGTTTGGCTCTAACTTCATGAATGCTACATATCTATATATTAAATTTATATATTTTTATATTTATGTATTACATATTAAATACATAATATAAATATGAATAAAATAATATAAATATGAATTAAAAATTAAATTAAAAAATAAATATAAATATAAACAAATATAAGTTATATATCTTCATAACATAGCTACCATTTTATATTCCAGGCAAGTGAAACAATTCTGAAATTTGTAGCTGAACGATATCATAATTTCCTTGCATTATAAATCGCCATAGGCTTTATCTTATTATTATTAGTATTTATTGCTTTATAAGTTTGTAATTTCATTAAAAATGATTAAATGCTATGCTCACTCTATAGTACTAATCATAAATTCAGCTAAAACATTCCAAAAGTTTTCTCTGTTTTAAGGTCTTAAATCATATTAGTCAATACAGCGAATGTTAGAATGTCCTTGAAATAGCAATAAAGACAACCAGGTCACTTTTTGACTGCGTACTTGCACCTTATTGCACTGTGGCTTAATAAAAATAAATACAGCAAGTCAATCAGCAAAATAAGAGAATTAAACTCAATTTATTGCCATTCTCTCTCTTGCTCTCAATCTCTGTGCATTAATTAAAGCTTTCGTATCAGCAAATTACGTTGCACAAACATAGACACAGACACAGGCCAACACCAGTTTTAGCACCTGTCACAGGTACTGACAAATGTGGATTGGCCAGTGCGAGCACGTGTCAGTGAGGTTTGCAGTAATTATGCTGATTTGGTATATTGATGGCAGGCACTTGGCAGGCAATTGGAGAATTGTTCTCATTGTTATTGTGAGCATAGGCAATCAATGTAACCAATTGCAACAGCTTCCTCTTGAGACTATTATGCGATTCAAGCTATTCGAACTTTTAAATAAGTTTGTCTTAAATTTTCTTAGCAAATGGAAATTTTCTGAGTCACATTTTTCAATTGCTCTGGCTTAAATATAAAATACTAAATTGTCTAGAAATGCAGTTCGTTTTGTTCACAACATATTGATGCTACTTAAATTTACAGTTAAGAGTGGCACATTCACAGCATAACAATGCATCGCCAGCGAGTGCCCAACGACCCTTATGTTCAATAATTCTCCAAGGGCTTTTAGGGCAAGCTGCGTGTGGCTGACAGGTAAACAGCTTATGAAAAATGCAAAGAATGTCTTTCACAATTTAGACGCATGCCATGCATTGTGCAGCAAAGCGACGAAGCATGCAACGGAAGAAGGATAACAAATTTGTTTACAGCATAAAGAGATATCAACAATGTTGCTGTCTTTTTTTACATATTTATATATTTTTTATTGTTGTTGAGTTAAGCAGAATTTTTATCAAATTCACCTTCGTCTGTCAAAGTTCATTGAGTTCGTCTGTTATCTATTCACATTTTTTTTCTTCACTTTGTATAATTCAAATTTCAAATTCATTGTTTTCTTTAACGGACTTTCAGTTTCAAATGCCAAAAACGTTGTCTTCCGATTGAACTTTTAGTCTGCACCAAACAATTTATCGCCGGCAACTGAAGCTAGCTGAAACAACGGCTCCTTTCGAATTCGAAACGGGCTGAGTGTAGGTGCGTGTGTATGTGTGTGCAGCCGGCTTTTGGAAAGTGTCGGCATTAGTGTGCGTTAGCAGCTGCTTGATGTTCTTTTTCGAAAAAGCATTTCACGTTTTTGGGGGAGCTTTCAATGGGCTACAATTGGGTGGCCTTTGTTTACACTTTGAATAATGTTTAGTTTGGTAGAATAAATGAAGTGAGCCAATTGAACTCGCAGAAATGGCATTGATAAGGAATATATAGCTTTATCAGAAATATATGTTAAGTTTGGACTCCTAACTTATCAATGAAAACATATTTTGAATCAGTTTGCATCTTGATGCACTCTCTTCATGAAATATAATATAAATTTAAAACTCTCTATTACTTAAATGTATTTTTAAAATCAGAAACATTCGAAATCTGGGCCTAAATGACTGGAACCTATACAGAAAATATGAAATCTTCAGCTTTTTGTAGTATTCAAACTAAGCTTAAAATCGAAATCATGTCACAGATTTTTATTGAAAATAAGTATATCAGATAGATTTAGAAAACTATAGTATACTTCACTATAAATTCTAAATTTCAAGCCTTTGGCTTTCGCATCTCAATTTACATTTTCAAAGGGTTCATGTTTTATAATCACGTGAAAGTGAAATTAAAATATTTTAACTTTGACGGTTTTGTAGCTTTAGGAACTTTACCAGATTACAAAACTTTCTAACCAGTTTAGTTAAGTCATTTAAAGTAACAAAATGCTGTTTTTAATTAGGGCTTTTAAACCTTAAATTAGAGTTTTAAATTCAAACTCAACGTCTTTTTATGTTGTGCCCCTACGCAACAGTAACGGTAACGAATGTGCTTTGCAAGCACAAATGGTTGTTGTCATTGCTAAGCGACAAGTATTGTTGAAAATGTTACTAACAGAGCGCTGCTGATTGCCGCTCCCCATTGAGTAGTTGCCTAACAGTGATTTCCGCTGTTAGCGCTTGCCTTAACAGCAAGACATTGCCTGTTAACGCATATTGAACACTCTTATTCTATGTATTTCTATATCACTTATATATTATTGAAGCGCTTACTCACTTGAGTGTTTATTGCCAATTTCACGACGCATTTCCTCCGAACGATTCATTACGTTTGGCTCAAGCGGATACTGGGCAAAGGTCATGTTCTCGTTACGCATCTGTTTGCCGAGAGACTTCATCATGAGGAAACAAGTGTGTAAGCCGGCCACATTGCGCTGACCATCGCGCTCGTAGTAGAAAATTGAATGGGACCAGTTGTGCCTGCGAAATGAATGGATGCAGCAATAACTGGCGAAATACTTGATCTAAAGAGGGCCGACTTACTGTTTCATTACATTTATGGTCAGCTCGGAGATGGACTCAAAGCTCAGCATTCCAGTGCGCAGCAGCATATAAAACTCATCGCCACAATCGGTTTTCTTCTGCTCAAAATCATAAGTGGATCCCCCCACGGTTATGAGTGGTGTTCCCTGACTATTGAAGTATTTGGTAATGCGGCTAACAGCAGCTGAAACATCGTGGAGCAATGAGAATTGAGGTAATCTGATGGAAGCTTCTATTCTGTGCAGCTCACTTACCTAGCGAATAGTCGCAAACCGGTCCAAAGATGACTTGCGCACACTGCTTGATAATGCCATCCATGGCCCTGATGACGCCCAGGGAGGCATCGCACTTGGTGTCGTGGGCCAGCCACTGGAAGTCAATGTGCTGTGGTATCAAAGCCGTGTGGCGGATCTGCTGCTCCGCCACTTTCAGAATGGGCAGCACGCGCTGCAGCGATGCCTCGTATCCGTCGTCATTGGGCAGCAGCACCAGAGCGCGTATGGAGCAGTTGCCGCCAGCCGCATCGCAAATGGCCTCACAGTCCCGAGTTGGCTCCTCCCGGCACCTGGCCTGGCACCCGCCCAGGCAGAGCAGCCCCAGCAGCAACAGCAACTGACTCATGCTGCCATTAGCGACACCTGCGTGTTGCCATTGCCAGGTGCCAGCTGCTATGGTTCCCATACATCCCAATGATTTGCAAGTTTTTGCACTGGCATGTTGTGGCCTTTGGTCGTAGAGTTGGCTTGATGGCATCAAAGCCAAGACGCTTCGAGTTGCCTTGATTTTCGAGCTCATTAGCTTTGCCCGCGCTGCTTTGATTGGCTTTGTAGGTGGATTTCGGCAATTAATTAAGTTGCTTTGATCGTTTAAGGAGTACAAATGTGGGCTGATTCTGCTGCATGGTGTTGCTTAAAGGTAATTTAAGAGGGTTTCCAATAAAGTTGTTGTTAAATATAATTATTATCTATCCATTTTATAGGTAAATAGTAAGGCTTGTAATTGATATTATATTAATTAATAGTAATAAAAATATATAATAATTATAATTATAATAGTTAATTAATTTATTATAATTAATTAATGTTTAAGCTCAATTTGGCCTAACATGAAACCTGAATAATTTTTCATTTTATTATAAAAATTTCAGTTAATTTTTAGATCAGATTTCAGATTGGCGTTTCGATCTTTATAATGGAATTTTAATGAAGCTATTGTGGGAGATATTTAGGTCTTCAGTATTAGCGTGTGAATCAGAAGAAACCAAATACTAAATTTAAATTTGCATTTCTCTAATATTTTTCTTCAGCTAAGCTTTGCTGCCAGATTACAATTTATAATTTAAAGCATCTTTAAATTTAGCATTTTATTTTAGCAGAAGAGGAAATTTATAACCTAATTTAAAGTAAATGCATTAAAAAAGTTTGGATCAATTACAGAGCTTAACGAGCTGAAAAGTTAGTTTCATGAACTCAACTTTCAATTGAGAAGTAGATTGAGAAAAGATATAAAAAATATAATTTTTTGCCAGGTGGTCAGGAAACTAAGAGTAATGTAATTGAAGAATATATTCCGCATTAATTTATCAGATGCTTGGACAATATAACAAAATAGAGCAATTGATTTATAGATTCATCGATCTATTATCCCTTTATATAATTTATTTTATTAAATAGCTAAGCATAATTAACCCTTTCTCAGCCCATTCAAAATGGGAATTAAGTTTGTATTTGTTTTGTGAATCAGAAGTAGGCGTGGCAGACTCTATAAACTATATATATTCTTGATCAGAACGCCGAGTTGAATCGATCTAGCCATGTCCGTATATAACCTTGTGTAATTACAATTACTCGATCATATAGATAAAAATCTATCACTTTGTTTCATTTTTTAAATGTATTTTTGTATTTACGATATTCAATATCGTAAATAAAAAAAATTCATTTAGAACAAAAGTTAATACAAAGTTAATTCAGTTTCCATGGTAAACCTATGCTGCAGCAGTCTGCAGCCCCAGCATAGTCTCTGCGTAAATGTATGTCTATGTATGTAATGAAAGGGTATCTGCTAGTCGAGCCGTCTCGACTAGAGCCTCTTGTTATAATTTAATTTTGCAACTTTCTTAGTTATAAGATTTGCTTTATCTTGTTTTTTTTTTATAAATATGCTTTGACAATAATTATTCCACAATTTCAGTGATTCCACATAGAGCACACAAAATCAGTGCAATAAAAAATCAAAGACCCAATAATACAAATATGGCTCTAGTCAACTTGCAATTGAATGCCTTCGCACCTATTGATACAGTGAAGCTTATCGTCTGTTGAACCTACGCTTTGAAAAAGGAAACGAGATGATAGACAGAATCAACGTCAAATTAGCGTCGGATTAAAGGCCAATTAAAGTTTATGAATTTATAAATTAATTAAAAAGAAAAATGAATTTTCAACGCTCAGCCAACTACTTGGCTACTTTGATTATTATTTATGGCAACCCGTAAACGTCTCATTCCGGCTATCATATTGTTAAGTGCACATGCGATTCGTTCGGCTGACGTATGGTGTTTTATGGACTTATAAATAAAGTGATATAATGAATCATTGTGGATATGTTGTGCTAAAAGTATAATACCATTTGCTGCTATAGACGGGTGCTCTCAACTATAGCATACTCTGCTTACAGTGAAAGCTGCTGTAGGAATAATTTGATTGAGATAGAACTTAGTCTGCCTGACAGAATTACTAAGTTCCACTGATATAATATCGAATACATCAATTAAGCTAATATACTCCCATCAGCCACATGCACAGTGTATGAAAAGGTTCAACTGCTAGAGTAAAATTCCATGGAATTGTTTACATTAGCTAAACCTATTGATAAGGGCTCATTGAAATGGAATTTTTCGATGGAAATGCAGTCTTTCAGCTGAAAACCAGAAAAGACAAATTAAAATATTTTGGAAATGTATAGAAAATTCTGCAAATCGAAAACAATAAAAAAGAACCCTCCAAACTATTGTTAAATGACGCTAACTTTTATTTGTCAACATTGATTCTTAATCTTATCAGCGCCGCCAGAAAACTTGTGAGTTGTTTGACAACAATTTTCAAAGCAATTCCAAGTCTTGACAGTTACGCGTGAAGTGCATGAACAATGAAGATTAGTACTCTTGCAGACAGTTGGATTAAGACATGAGCATTTTCAGTGCGGCCAATTATTCTAGGAAAAGTTTTTCGGCTAAGACTTTCCATGCTGATAACATGCTGAGTTTTCTTTCAATTCGATTAGCGACTGCATGCAGCTAATCGAATTGAAAGAAAACTCAGACAACTCCATAGCAATCATCTTTAAGTCTTGATTGTAACAGCCTTTAAAAGTATTCGGCGCTTTAGCTGAAAGTATTTTGTGCAGTAAAATCGATTAGCAAAAATAGAAGAACGATTTTGTGCGACTAACAAATACCCTTTAATTAGTAATAATTTGCATCTATGATGAATTAGACAGACTTCAACTTCCTTAAAATTGACAGCAAGCACAAGCTTGTCCGCATTTTTACAAAATTCATAATCGATATTTATCGATTTGCTGTTTCACGAAACAGAAAACCAGTAGCACAATCTCCATTCGTATGTTCTATTCAATTGTTATCAATATGTCGAAAGCCAAGAATTGCCACAATATTGCTGTGCGTATGCCGGTGTTGAATGCATTCAAAGTTTGATATCGCGCAAAGTGATAAAAGTTGACGGCTGGAGCTTGGCGCCAGAGCGCGGGAATGCCACGCGTCTGGCACATTGTCTGGCGTTCTCTTGTACTCTGAAGCACATTCTAAGAAAATAAACAAACCAAATATTGGCAATTGACATGAACACAAATATTATCAATAGAGGCAAGGCGGCGTCATGGGGCGAGGCGTGCTTATCAGAGTTGGGGGAGGAGTCACAGGTAGTCGCAATTAATAAGAATTCATCACAAGCCGTTGACAGTGCAAATATAAGGCGCAGAAGGTAATTGCAATCTGGCAACCAAAATGCCATTGATACCAAATATCAATTCGTTTGGGTCATGTGCTTGATATCAACAGCACAGTTGAACGCTTGAAAAGCCCTCATTATGATATGGCAAAAGCCAACTACAATGCGAATCTATGTAAAAAAAACCCCCACATCAATCATTTGGAGCATATTGTTAGCAGTGGGAGTTTGGTAACGTGAAACAGGCGAAAGGTCTGCAAAACTAAGGCTCAGAGCTTGAGACAGTTTGATCTTTTCCTAAGCTTATTTTTAACTTTAAAAAAAAAATAAATAAAAAATGTATTTTACTAAAAATGCAAGCGATCAGCAGCTATAAATAGCCGTCGAGCTGGTCTTGTTAAAAAAAAGTGAAAAATATATATCAAAATCAAATAAATTAATAACAAATTGGCTGAAACATCGCCGCGCTTATCAATTGGCAACCGTCACTTTATTTTTAGGTCGTTAGCAAAATTAAATAAAGTGCTGACTGATTATGATCGGGAAGGGGCGTCAGGGCCCACTCGACGGGACATGTCGCTGCACCTCGGGCGAATCAATCATATTTACTCACATTGCCAGCAGTACAAATGTGTAAATATTTATAGCCATAGCAGCTAGGTACATACAGACGCTCTCTACGTGTGGCCACTCAGGGTATGTCTGCTTGGCCATTAGCCAGCGAGTCATCCAGCGAACGGCTCCACACATGTGCACAATTTTCGCTGTTGTTGTGGGCGCAAGCGCTCGACCAGCGAATACCCTGTGCTCAGCAACAGCTCACAGTCCATTTAACTCTTCTACTTCATGCCAAAAATATTGAGCAACTATCGAGTTACGCAACGTTCAACAAATGAAGCCCACGCCTTCAGCTGTCTGGCTAACTGTTGTCATAGCCATATTGATTGATTTACAGGGTATGCAAACACAGGCAAATTCTCTAGCATTTACAGCTCGTGTTGGACTTACACAAAGCTTTAATGCAGGCACTCAACTGAAAGTCAAGCAACACGTGGTCAATGGGCTTAGTGCGTGTTTATAAAAACCCTAAAACAACAATAATATAAATTTATAGATTTAAAGATATATATACGTATAGATATATAGTTATATAGATATATATTTATATTGATATATAGATATAGAGATATATAGATATATGCATAGTTATATAGATATATAGATTTCTATACTCTATTTCTAAAAAAATTAATAAAAAGTTTTTAATATTTAAATAAATTTTTTCTAGAAATATATTTAAGCGTGAGCTTATTAGGCATACAATAAAATTTAATTATATAATTTTCTGCAAGTTTTTGTATGTCTCGAATCTGTCGCCGAAATCTCGTCTGGGTTTAGAGCTGATGTAGCCCAAGAGTAAGAACCATTTATAGTTCTTTAACATCATCGAGCTATAGCATGTCAAAATATTATACCTCGCGTCAAAATTCTTTTTTTCAGTCGAAAATAAAATCTGCTTTTGTCACCACTGATATTTTTGAACGCATTGTCATACACTCGCGACACAAATAGACCTCTTAATTGGCTTTGATTAAATCAAACAGGTCGTTATCTTTCAATATGAGTTTATATAATAAGAAACGAGCTGCATTTCTAGTCGATATCACGATATCATGGAGCGGGGCTTAGGTCAGAGCTTGCTTGCCTTAAGCACTGCACTTCCATTAGCTGTCTAATTAGATTTAATTTCTTTTTATAAGTTCCAATGCGTCATTGCCATAGATGATGAAGTAGCGCTTGTTGTGTAACGTTGAGGGCACTCGAGGCAAAGTCCTTGTCGGGCTACTTCTAGATTTCATTTCGAGGTCGATTGCAATTTATCGAGTCCGAGCGACTGGCCAAGTCAAGACGCATACAGTTCAAATACGTCTATTTATAGATGTTTGTTTATATTTAGCTCTAATCAATGGGCAGCGTGGCCTGATAAGATTGCGGAATGTGCACAAGTTCGCGCAATTGCTTCTGGGGTAAGCGCATAGATATCGAGCCCCTGCTTAAGCCGTTCGCATAACTTATATAACTGTCCATAAATATTCTGTTTTTTTTGCTTCTTTCATGATTTTATTTTAATTAATCGTTTTTAAATCTGGTAATTTGCATGCAACTTAAATGTCCATTTATCATGGCCATAATTCATAGCGACTATTTACACTGAACCTGGCCTGGCCTGGCTTTGTCACGGCTAAATTTATATTATTTATGAACTTTTAATACATGGATAGCTTTATTTAAATATAGACAACCTTCCGGCTGCCCAGATAACAAGCCACAAATGGGCAGGAATTCATTTTTAAAGTCCACCAAATCGAAGACCAAAGACAATCGCCACATAAGATAAACGTGCACAGACGACGCAATATTCGTTGACAGCTGTTGTTTATCTAAGACCAATCAGCTGTGCACTTCAGATGTCTTTCAATTCTGAACAAAGTGACTTGGCTTTTCCTGAGCTTCATAGGAGCAAATTCCCTCGTCAAACACCAGAGGTCTTATTATCAAAAACCCTAATATAAGCGTCAATAATTTCATATTCATGGAAGTATTAGTTTCTTTTATCATATCATGAACTCTTCATCTAAACGAATAAATTCTTTACGATCAAATCTCTCTCAAGCTCTTACACTCTGTCGTGTTACCTATCACAGTCCCATTTAATCGTTCAGGCACTATTAAAACACGCTGCGCACATAAAGTGTATAGCGCGTTTAAAGTTTAATGAAAAACTTTAATAGATTTTGCAAGCGCACAGAGCAGACGCAACTGACATTAATTAAATGGCTTTAAGCGCTTTAATTAAGCGTATGAACATTCATGGCCTTTAGCAGATGATATAAACTTTTCCACAGCACTCAATGTGTGGCTGAGCAATATGTTTATCTACGACTTCTTCTGACAGCAAATGCAATTTGTTGTCCTCGAACCCCAGTGCTAAATCGAAGTTTTCTAAACTTAGCTTGGGGCAAAACTTTGATGCTGCATGGGGTTAGAGTTTTTTTTGTAAACATTTCAATCTTCACGAGCTTATACATGAATTGTTATATATATTTTTTGTGCAATTGAAATATGCGTGGAACATGCTTCTTCAATGGAGCGAAATGTGGAAGTCTGGCTATGTCGTGTTTGTGGCGAAGCGACGACAATAAATTTGAAGGTGTTGGAGGAGCTGTGCTGCAGCTTGGAAGGTGAAAGAGGAATTTAAAAGCAGCAGGAATTAGAGTTCCATGTGAGACTAATTTATAAGCTGTATAATGAAGCTACTTCACACACGATAAATTTTTAATTGAAGACAAGAAGTGAACTCTCTTAGACAACCCAAAGCATTCAAAATTGTGGTACAGGCAGGATCTTTCTTCAACTTCAATTATCAAGCCAAAGATGACTGGCAAACAGCTAATCAGCTCGAAGCTGACTTCGATGAGTTGTGCTAATTTAACGCAGCTTAACATAAAACTCGCATGAAAACTGAGAAAAATGCATATATTCATTTGCTGAACAAAACTTTTGAGTCAGAAAACAAATTCAAAGCGAAATGAAGACTTTCAAGCATACATCCTCCATCCACGCCTCGATAGGCGAACGTCATCAGTGCTAAAGCGTTTTCCATATGGAGTATGAGTTAAAGAGCTTTGCCCGACGAGCAAATACATATGCAAATACATGATATGTGCATAAAATTAGGGCTGAGGCTTTTGAGGTCTGTCCATATGCTGTACTTGTGCACAATGCGTACACAAATACTAAAACAGCCTCCGAAGAGTGCACAAAGATTTTATTGTTTTTGTTGGGCCCCGTGGGCAAATATTTGTGTTTGCTTTGACCCCTCGGCAAGCCTCGCAGCTCGGCTCTTGTGGGTACCTGAGCTGTTTAGAGGGTATCAGCTTTCGGAAAAGTCAAATATTTGAGGGATCACATCATCTACATAAACTACTAAAGATAATGTGAAAATTTTCCATTAATGAGAAAGAAGTATCAGCAAGTGTCGCAAAAAGTGCACAATCTGATGTGAATGCCGCCGCAAGCAATTGCATGCAGAACAATGCTGCATAACATTGCGTATACGCAATGTGTGCGGGAGCTAAGCTACTCGAAAGATGCAGCATACTTCCCTGGGCTAAATAATTGCAGCGGGGCGTGTAAAGCCAACAAAGAACCCTTGCACAGACAGTGACAAAGTAAATATTGAAAAGCAACTAAATGAAGTGACAGTACTTAATAGGGGAACACATACAAAGCTGATAATTAATGTTTCTGTCTGCTCACTTAGTTTGACAGAGCAATTAGCAGATAAACTTATAGCTGCTTTGACTTAAATAATTATAATTTATTTTTTTAAATGGAATTTCGTTTCGTCTGTAGTCAGATTAAATGATGACTGCGATTTAAATATAGTTCATTCAATTAAATCTATTTAAGCACACAGAATCTAATCGAAACGATATAGAAATGATGAAAATATATAAAAATCCTATGCAAAAAGATGTTAAAGTGTTAACTATATATTTGCCTAAAATATTATTATATTCCTGAGAAAATTTGCTTGCAGTGCATTCTTCAAAGAAGTTAAAGGAGATATCTGGCGACTACTTTTCTTTGTCTGAAAAATTTTAATGTAATATTCAGAGTAGTTACAGCATTGCCTTTGTGAATCTGATTTTCAAGTACTTTAAGCGTTTTGAGTAAATTTTATTCAACTCAAATTTAAACTCTTTCCAGGGCAAACGATTTCGGACTTGAAAATAATATCAATGAACACTCAAATATGTGTCAGACCACAGATGACAGCTTTCATCTACATATTTTAAAGCTGTCCGACTTGTCAAGCAGCATCCAATATTGGACTACAGTCGAGATGCTTTAGATGTTCGCTGTTAGCACAACACAAGTGCACACTTAGAGTGGGTCCTGTGAGGCAGTTGAAGATATGCGTATGGCCAGCGCAGTGGGGCTGCATTTATCTGTCGTTGCATTCCCAAAGGTCGGGATTGCGCTACATTTGAGTTACAAGCTGCAATATATCTGGCTTTAATTTATTCAGTTTTCAAATAACTTCAGCTTGTTCCGCAATAGTCAGGAAAGTCTCTCAAGGCCGCCGTTGGTTTTTCATCCGATAAAAGTTTTCGAATCATTGCAACTTAAATGCAAAAAGAATTTATGCACTAATGGGAATTCTTTGACCACTTTGTGGTGCTGTCAATGAAGTCTCTTTGCCAGAGCTTACCTTGGCATTGAATGCGTGCTGTGCGTGGGTGGCTTTTGGAATTGCTTTGATATTTATTTTTTCTCGCTTTGCTTTGATTTTATGCCAAGCACATTTGAGAGTGTCAACTTTTTTACTGATATCAATTCTATTTATTTCTCAGACAATTATTCTTTTATAACGCGTTTATGAACTACACGCAATTAGCTTTTGTTGCTGATTCAACAATCAGTAGGGCGATAAGTATTTTCTTGGGCCTGCTGAAGAGTGTAGGCTCTGATATGCTCGTATTCACATTAGAATCCAATTACATTCACAATCGCGTTTTCGTAATTGTTGACGATTTCGGTGTTCGCATTTCGTCGCGTATTTTAACCCGAAACGCGCGCTTGCCGCTTAACTGTTATTTTTCGACTATCATTGGCCAAATATTGAAAAGCTTGCCAACTGTTGTAGGAACCATCCGCTTTTGCACAATTCACCAATGCAAACGCCTCTCAACAATGAGTTCTGTTAGTGATAAGAAAGCGTCTGGATAACATGAAACAGCCGGTAGCTGTTAAAGTTATTGCTGTTAACAAGCTGTCGCTTAACAGTGCTGCTGTTGACACGCTGTTAATCACGCTGTTATCTGCCTAGCGTTGATAGGGCAAATAATAATTCAAGAAACGCCTACAGCTTGACTTTTTGAATGTCATTTTTTATAACTCAATACAAATACCATTACTGTCTTATTTATTTCATTATACAATTATTCACTCACGAAGTATATAATAAACACTTATCTGGTATATAACATAAATTAAAACATAACAACATAAATTTAGGCGGTTTTTGTTTGTTTATGAAACATTTTCTATATATATTTGCAACCAGGTGTATGAAAAAATATATATTGAAGAAAAACAGCCGGAAAATGTAGTGTTATCTAAAAAACCATATACACGTCGTATACGCAATTTAAATGCTAGCACATTGCTTATACGTCATGTCACAGAACTCAAGAGCAGCTGCACTGCTGCTGCTGCGCCTCTTGTTGCAGTTGCAATTTAGCGTGTATGCAATTAATACACTTTTAACGCCCATCTGCGGCACTTTGCATAAAATTCCAGCTGAGTGGCGTTTAAAATGCCGTCGAGTCTATTCTTTTGTGGTTGCTGTCGCTGCTTTTCGAATCAGCGGAAATTTGGCAGCAAATCCACATGAAATATATATATATATATATATATATATATACAAGTGTAATGGGAAATGGATTTTAAGTGTGACAAACGCTTGATAGAAAAATTTTCGGATTTTTTGTTTTTTTGAAACAAGTAACTGAGCTAACAGAAAATAGACCTACTTTAAGCTTAGCATATTCTAACAGAATATTATAATAATCAAATAAAAGTATAAAATTAAAATATATATAAATGTTTATTCAATTAAATATTTACATACCTTGATTTAAGTATTTGTGCATATATATTAGAGCTTTTGGGTTAAGGAAATATAAAAACTTTAAAGCAAGATTATTCATTATTTTATTACTTTTAGGTGGATGTTAGAGCTCTGTGAACAAGTCAATATGGCTGGAACTCATTTCTGCGGAAGCATCTAAAGCTCGACTGAATTTATTATCCTTCACAAATATTATAAAGCATAGTAGTCCGTCCTTATATATTTTAATGCTTTAGCCAGGCGCGCTGTTTAGTGCTCTTCAGACTAATGAGAAATAGATTTAGATATTTATCATTGTCTCATTGATAAGTTTGGTATAGAAACTGCAGTTTTACGGCTACAAGCGACCCTTTTAATTTATTTGTATTCTTATTAAGTGCTTAAGGCTGACAATGGGTTAAAGCTTTGCGGAGCAGTGTGCGAGTGTATAGGTTGTTTCATGTGTGTGTATTTATTTGCCGGTGCTTGTGTGTGTTGGACTTTTACTCATATATATAAAATGAAAATAGCTAACATTTATCATTTACCATTTATCATTTACTTAAATCTACATAAGCTGTGCCTTGCAATGTGAGCTGCATTCGTTACTTTCTCGCCCTCGCCCTCGTCCTCGCCCTTGTCCGTGCTTTCGTCTCTCCCTGTTTAAATGGCATCGCCCTCTTCATTGATGGACTTGAATATAATGCTATAGACGTGATCAACCAGCTTAGTCCACGTTTCCACTTGACTATCGTCCAGGTTGCAGACAGCAGTGAGCGTTTCCAGAATTACAGCTCTGAGTTGCTATAAAATCAAAACAATTATAAATTATAAATATATATATATATCAATGAGAGATTGATCTGGGCACTCACATTGTAAGATTCTTTAGATATGCGTCGAGGAATGTGGTTGACTGCCACCTTGGTCCAGATCTCATCCAGTTTCTCCTGATCGCCATCTTGGCCGAGCACCCTAATCGAGTCGTCGAACACCCGAATTATGCGTCCAGCATGGGCCCGGAAACGTGCATTGGCCTGTAGATGGTCAGATGTTAGTCAGTTTTCAGATTTACTCAATTCGCATTTCACTTACGGGCAACTCTTCCAGGGGCACATCGCGAAATGGAAACTTATCCAAGGCGGACGGAAAGCGATTGAAGAAAGCTGTCAGTATGGCAGCTCCAGAGTCTGTTGGGGTCGCCACGGGAATTTCCCAGGTCTTCTTGATCATTGCCAACTCATCGCTGTTCATGTTTTCGGCTAAAGTTCTCGTCTGCTGCTGCTGCTGCTCTTCAAATGGTAGCCTCGATATTGGGTTTTAGGCTGCAAAGGAATTGCGTTATATTACCGTTATTGTAGCTTAGAGTAAACGCTCTTCAGTTCTTTACGCTCTCGCATACACGCATTCTTTCATGTGCCCTTTATTGCGCTCTCTTGCGCACTCACGCTCTCACGCTCTCTTGCTCTCTTGATCTCCCGCTCTCCCACTCTCTTGTTCTTAGCAGACAATTGAGATTGACAGCTTTACATTGCAATTGTCATTTGCTATTCGCATAGCCTGACTCGATGTACAATAAGCGCTCCGAGCAGCGTCGACAACAATCGAAAATCAAAACAAAAAAGAGCGTCTAGCTGTACCACACCGAAGATTAAATACACTTGCAGACTAACAAGTATTGAATGAGATTATTACTATAGATCTAGGAATATAGTTAAAGGATTTATAAGATTAATGTTGAAGCTCACATGGTTAAATTTGATAGGCATATCTTAATTCATTCATTAATGTATTCCTTTTTCCAACCAGCTCTATTACTACTACTATTCATATTAGTACATATTTGATGACATAGTCAGCAGAGCCTAAGTAAACTTTTGAGAACTATAATGCTATAGCTACAGTAGGTTATATAAATATACGCACACCATAACACGTGCTAAAAGTCAACAAACGAAAGAGCAACAATGGAACATCCATCAAATTAACGTTCATATGTCAATCAACGCAGCACAACAGTGATGGCCGTGTGATTGGGTCAACTTAGGAATTTCGACAATATCTCCAAAGATATCTCTAGCTAACTATGTCTATGCATATATTTGATGTATAGTCACTTATAAACATGTGTAACATGATGTATTTTTATATGTTTCTGGTTGTAAGTAGCTTAGAAAACGTTTGCATCTCACAAGATTCCATCTCTAATTGAGTTTGCTCAGCTCTGTGGACTTGTCCTTCCCTCTCCCTGCGCCTGTCTTAATAAGCAGTTCTTGTGGCCTGTTCTCGTTGACATAAATTGTGGCGGCACTTGATTCGCATTGTGCGTCACACACTCAATTCGGATTCGGATTCAGATTGACATAGGTTTCCATGCGGAAAACGGAAATGTAAACAGCGAAAGCAGAGCCCCAAATAGGGCTTAGATCTTGCACAATTGTGTGATTGTTTAGCAGTTATGCTCAATTATAAATTGTAATTTAAAAGGTTTTCTAGAGAAAGTATTTGCATATTTGTGGCAGAAATGGGGCTCGTTTTAAGGGAAATGAGAGCGATAATTGAATTCGCTTGATACATAAATATTTATGCGGAACGATGGAACAGCCCACAAGTCTATATTTGATGAGGCTTTTTGAATACTAAATCGCGCTGCAGGCCAGGCTCTATTGCTTAGCATAAAATATACCACTTTGCCAGCTCTTCTCTTGATTTAATGAGGAAAGCAGAAGCAACAACAACAGCATAAATAAAATAAGAAAAAGTCAACTGAAAGTTTATTAAAAATTTACAAGCTGACAGACCTGCCGCAGGCACAGTGAGAGGGAGAGGTAGAGAGAGAAAGACATCATGTGGAAAAAATAACAAACAGATAGCATAACAGTGAAATGGACTCAAGTGCAGCCGCAGCAGGTGGCCACCATGTTATTGTTGCCGAATGGGGGTGGAGTGGGCTGAATAAAACAGCTCGCTGTGGTGAGTACGCCAAGTATAAGTGCTGGCATGTGGCATATGCGACCGAAATGTACCCCTTAAAAATGTTTTAATAAGTCCTTCAACTGTCAGTTGTCATAGATTACATTCTTAAAGAAAAATGTATGCACTAAATTTATAATTTAAAAAATTATTTAAAAATTCACAAATGGAATATTTCACAAAATAAAATATATATAAAAATTTCTAGTCAATATGCAAGATATTTAAGCTATTTAAGCTATTCATTATAAGAGTATAAATTATTATTATCTTGAAATAATCCTAAGCCAAGTTGATTTTAGGCAAAGACTACATAAAGTTGAAAAATCTTCTTCTAATTGGAAGACCACGTCTACAGAATGGAACATATCTCAGGCATATTCAATAGCCAATCAGCCAAAGTGAGCAACCCTTTAAGTCCTTTTAGGATACAGGGTATTACAAATGTGCCAACTCTGGGTAACCTTGTCTCGAAGCCCGCTTCAGGGCACAATCGTTGGAACCAGCATCATCATCAGCAACCAGCATCGTTATCATCATCAAAAACAACAACAACAACAGCTAGCAATGTACATACAAACATACATAATATCCTTCATGCCAAAACGTCCTGTGGCTTTTGTGGTTGATGTCGCTACAAGCCTGTGTGCTACCACACAAATACACATCAAGCACAACTGTATATACATAAATATGTGTGTATGTTTGCTGTGTGTATGTGTGTGTGTGTGTGTGTTGCAGTCAAGAGTAAAAAAGCAGCAACAAATCAAGCGTTCCCCGCTTGCCTTGCGTGTATTTGTGCGCAGTCTGTAAGGACATTGAGCGCTTAATTAAATTAAGGAAACTTGATGGACAGCTACTAGACAACGAGACGCAAGCAACTGGCAACTGGCAACTGGCAACTGGCAGCAGGCCTGACAGCCCCGGCTCCTGTCTCTCTGCTGACGCCAGCTCATACTCCTGCCCCTGCCCCTGCCCCTGCCCAGACTAAAACCAACCAATCATTCAGGTGTTGCTAAAGTGCGGCGCTAGCCTTGCCAATGTAAGCGTGTGTGTATGCGCGTGTCTGGCAGTGTGTGTGTGTGTGTCATTCTCTGGTGTATATGCTGTCACTCAAGTGTCGTTCGGCATTCCATTGCAATTTCCCAAAAAAAAAAAAAAAAACAATCCAATGGACTGGGACTATTGCCAAAAGGGTTTAAGTTTCGAAATTTGAAACTGCAAGTGTTTTCCAGTCAATTCAACTTATTGGAAACTTCTACTATAAATTGAAGCTATAAATATTTTTTATAATTTGCTAGAAAACGTTATCTGATATTGTTTTAATAAATATAAACAAATGCATTATTTAACTTACACGGAAGCCATTTCACTTAATTCTTGCAATAAGTATGAAATAAATAAAAGTGTCTTTTAAATCAAATTTCGTTCCATATCTTAGAACTATGTATATGTAATTTTCAAGAAACCTTTAAATTGCCGACAAAAAAGAGTTCAATCTTATAAGATGCGATATAAATTAAATTCACGTCTTTAGAATTGAACGAAATTTGAGTAAATCGAATAATGTGAATGTTCAAAGGAGCTCAAAGGCATTTCCTGTTTAGCTAAATTGAGTTAAATTTGAATTCTGTTAGCAGCCTACGAACTTTTAAATTTAAAACTTGACTGCGTTATTCGCACATGTGTCAAGCAGGCTACACACAAACACACACACATTCAGTCAGAGAGGGCACACATACAGCTTCAGACATATGCTCATCGGAAACATTAACGATAATGACAAAAAACAACAACGAAACGGCACTTGTTCACAAGGACATCTGAGAAATCCATAAATTTAAAGCATGATTTTGTGCGCCAGAGCGCAAAGAAGAGCGAAAACAACAAAAGCAAGAAAAATAGAAATGGAAACAGAAACCGAAACAGACGCAGAAACAGAAACCGAAACAGAAACAGACAACTTTAAATCAGCTGTAGCCTGTTGAGCGCGAGCGCGGCAAATTTAAAGAATTCCCCCCGCCCTGAGTTCGACAAGCTTGATTTGCGCATTTGCACTTGAATTCACAGTTAACTGCATTGTTCCACATTTGCTAGAAGATAAGCGCACCCAATTCTTTCATAATTCCTCAAGCGGTTGACCAAGCGGTGTCTGTGGCGTTACGACTTTTCTGCTGCACTGTTTTTTTTGTTTTTTTTTTTTTGTTTTTGTTCAAATTGTTTATTATCTTTTTATTTTCTTTGATTTTTATTTGTTGTCAGTTCGTTAAACCTGTCGTCGCAGTCGCCGTTGTCGACTCCACTGTGAACCGCACGCGTTGCGTTCGAATCAGACACTGAGACTGAGACACTGAGACTCTGAGACTGAGACTGAAACTGAGACCGACTGAGCGTGCGACCAACTGATTCGTTTCGTTTTCAGCCGTTAGCAGAACGCGCTCTCTGCCGGCAAATACAGATTTGCACGTTTGTTGTTGTGTGCGCGCCAAAAACGTGCAAAACTATCGCGACCCGAGAGGTGAGAGAGCGACAGCGCAGCGGCGTCGCTCACTAGGGGGCTGTTAACGACTTGCTGCTCATGATAGGCTTTTGATTATACATGCATGTCATGCGGTCGCCTCAACCTGAGCGTGAGTGGCTGTCGGGCACACATTGTTAGATGCCACCTGTAGACCAACTAATGTAAGTGTCAGCTTCTGTGTCGCACCTCAAACTTCCGCTCACGTACAGATGGTCTGCCAGCTTAAACAAAAACTTATTTCCGTTTACTAAATATTAAATATATTTAAGACACCTTAAGACTTTTGATATTTGCGCAATTCTGCTGTATAATGCTGATCAACAAATTGTTGCTTAACATGTTTTTAATTTAATTTTATTTTGCAAATAAAACTAATTTTTTATATAAATTTCGATTCGCTGCTTTAGCTGATAAACGGCTCGCAAACTGCTGTTGTTTCTAGATTTTCTACCTGTTATCAGCACATATACACACACGTATATGTTTGTATGTAGCAACCAGCGCTAATAACTTATTGATAATAAACAAAAGAAGCAAATTTCAATGCCACTAGAAAACAAGCTAAAAAACACTAATTTGCTTATAATGCGCTAAATTCACTGAACACTTTGTATATATATGTCGCTGTATATATAAGTAACTCCACATGTGTGTGGTATTCAGGTGTATTTTCTATCGAATTATAAGTTCTGTATACATTTCCTTAAGCACAACTCACTATTTGCACCGTCGCAACCGCACTCAACGCTGTTCAAGTTCAAACTAAACAGCATCGGCGACTCGAGCGGCTATTTAAGCGCTTTTCGAAAGCGAATGAAAACAACAAAACAAACAGAACAATCAACAAAAGAGGAATAACTTTCGACTAAGCGTTGGAAAAGAGCAAGAAGCACTGCATTAATCGTATTTAAGGGCGCGTCGGGGTTATCGGAATTATGTAGGGGTCCAGAAAATTGAATATTTCGTCAGATCAAGATAATATTGCATCTTATAGTCACCAAAAGCTAGATCTCGAAATTTGAATAGATCTATGGATTTATGTAAATATTTTTTATTAATGTTATTCAATAACTTCAGTGCGTAGGGTCAAGAGGTCAAATGAATGCACAGTTCTCTCTGGTGAGTTCTATTTGATTCACTAAGTTGGCCAAGTAAGCAGCTATTTCTTATCTTTTGCCCACTGGGAAACGCACATTTACTTGACCTTTGCATAACTTTTCGACTTTTTCGACTGTCACGAGACATTTGTTGACACTTAATGTGCACGTTGCATGTTTCAACGAAGTCTTCCCACGAATTCATTCACTTCGCCCAATGAGTTATTTCATTGCTGTCCACTCATTATTTATATCCACTCAGTTGCCTTCTGATGATCTAATAGCAAATTTGTATCATTGTAAATTGTTTCATTGGCTGGTCCTGAAAGCGACTCATATAATTAGTAGTTGGAGAACAAGTTGTGAAGAATTTCAGTTTTGTCGCCAGAAAAGTTTTTATTGTTCTACTGGTTGATTACCAAGCCAATTAAACATTTAAAAACATGTGAAGATTTGTCACATAAGAAATCAGCTAATTAATCATAATTTCTTTGTTCTTTTGCCCTGCTCCAAGATCTGAGAAGTTCCCATTTCAATCAACAACTTTTAATGATGCTGCCCGAGTTGCCTTGTGGAACCTGCTCGGAAAGTGTATTTATTATTGTGCCTCATTGTTGCTAATTATTCGGGCAAGTCAATTATTATGCAATATGCATATATTAGAATTGAATATAATTATTCAAACACATTTTATGTAATAATTCTTTATGCGCAACAAACTATTTCCTTTGCTTTTTGGAGCCAATTGTTGATGCCAAAATCGAGGGTCATTAAAAAACAGTCGAGACGCAAATATTAATGAAAGTTCCCTGAAATGGGCAAATACTATTATATAGAATATTCCTATTGATTGTTCAGATTTCTGTTTTGTTTAAACAATTGAATTGTTTAAACACCAGTTGCTATTCCAGTCACGTTTGCCATTCCGAAATGCAGGAATTATAATCTCAAGAAATGTAAACAATTCGTTTACTTAGCTTGAATTATTATTTGCGGCCGACAGGCCTTTGACTAGCCGGAATTTCATAGCACATGGTAAATATTTATAAAAACAACATGAAAATGAGCTTGAATAATAATTGGATACGCCTGAAATATGGGACTTTAATGCCCAGTTGTACGGCTAACTTACCACATGTTATTTGTTGTTAATAAATTACCTTTTATTAAAAAAAAAATTTAATATTCAGCAGAAGAAATAAAACAGAAACAGAGGCGCAGAACCAGAAGCCGAATGTGAATGAAATGAAAACAAAACCCAAAACTGACAGATGGAAGCTCCCCAGAGAGAGAGAGAGGCGCACCCACACACACACCCATACACATTAGACAGACAGCGGGAGAGAGAGCGCAATAATAAGAGTTTGGATATGGAAGTCTGTTTCGTAATCAAATTTCAGTCATATTCAGCGCGAGAGCCAGATCGCTGCTGTAGCGGAGCGCAACGAGTTCTCTCAACGACCACTTTTGACAGTTGCTGCTGGCTCTTTGGGATAGCAAGATAAAAGCAAATCTGTGAAGAGCCAGTCGAAAAACAAAACTGAAGCCAAAACAATTGAGCTGGGGTAACACAAATGTAACAATGGACACACAGCAGCACCAAACGAGCAGCAGCGACAACAACTGCGACAGCGACAAATGCCAGAAAATTAAAAGATTCGTAATCGTCGGTTTACTGATCACCATTGGCATTCTAAGCTGGCATTTCTATGGTGCGTAGTTTATACAGATGTAGCATGCCCTAGCCAGCCATACAATTGTGTATTTACAGAGTATTTCCACGGCAAGCCGCTGCCCCCGACACCAGATGACGTGCTGACCTTGTCGCAGGCGCTATTTAAAGAAGAAACGGCGACCAGTCCATACCTCTTCAAGGTGAATGTGCAGGGCAGAACAAAGTCCGGCGCACACGATGATCGAGCACCAGGACCGTAAGTATAAGAACTTTAACATAATTCTGTTATGTTAACTTGCCATGTTATTACATTATGTAATTTTCTTTTAGACTGTTTGAGCTGCATAACGATTTGCTGGCCAGAGATGCCAACTCCACGACGGCGCTATTGCAGCGGCTCTTCAACAACTACGAGTTGGATGTCGCCGTGCCGGATATGATTACGGCAGAGCATGAACAGGAGCAGCTGGACTTTCTGCGCGCCGTAATGAACACGCGTGTCATGAAGCTTTCACTGCGATTCCTAGCCAACAAAGGTAAGTTATTCAGACGACAACAAGTTCTTATGCACAACAAGAGTTAGAAGAATATTAACATAGTTTTTTAAGCATAAAGTTGGATTAGGTATATACTTCTGTCTAGGCACAGTTAACTAACCAAGTCTCAGGGACTTGGCTGTTGCTAAAGTTTGTTTCAAGTACTCTAGAGCTTCCACGACTTGCAAGGCACTTGAAATGCTTACAGAGTTATGATAGACCCAAAATTAGATTTGCTTATTTATATATATATTCAATGCAACTTTTACCAGCACACACCCAGTTTAATTCTCCAAATTAAATTTCCCTTGGTCTCAATTACCCTCCTTCTACACAGCTTCAGCTAATCGTTTTAAGACGAATTGTCATGAAAACAGATATTGTTTCAACTTTTCAGAAATATTTATAAGCAATTCAGTTGCTGTACTATCGAAAAGTTTATTAACTCAGATTAAATGAGTGCCAGAAAAATGTAAATAATTATTTTAATAAATAGTTCCAATTAATTCAACTTATAATAATTTGAAAAAAATTTAAAAAGAAAAATATAAATAACTATTATAGAAATAAATATATAGTTAAATAACTATAAATAAATAAATAACTATAAGTTGAATTTTTACATAATAAAATAATATCAAGCAGTCTTTACCCTTGCATAATAATATAATAAAATGATTGATAAATTATGATTTTACATAAGTTTCATAAAATTTCGCACCTATTAAAAGGCATTGTTGGCAGCGACTACGATGAGCAGCTAAAGTTCCTCCAGGAGCTCTGGTTCACCCCATATTCTCGAGGAAACGGTATCATGGGTAGCTCCAGCTTCGAGCACGTCTTCATGGCAGAGCTGCGGGATCGAAAGGTGCTCGGCATGCACAATTGGCTGTACTTTGCCGAGCAGGAGCAGCAGGGCCACGTCGACTACAAGGGCTGGTTGAATCGTGTGGAAACGGGCAGAGTGCGTTCAATTAACTGTTTCAATTGAATAATATTGAACATTGCATCATTTACAATGTTTATCATTTACAGCACAATCAGTTTGCGCTGGCCTTTCGCATGAGCTTCTTTGGCGTACAGAAGTCGTTCAATGGCTTCTTTGTGGGCACATCGCCAGAGCTGGAGTTGAGTCTCTACACAGTTTGCTTCCTAACCACGCCCAAGAATGAAGTGTGCGAAATACAGCTGGGCACGGCCAAGTTATCAATTGTATCATATGTCTGGGAATGGAAGGGCAAACATCTGATAGCCACGGCCTATGTGCAACTGCCTTAATTGGACCACAATACGCAAGGCACTAAAGCAAGAGTTACCTATAGTCAAGTATTAGAATCGCTTACCTATAGCAAGCCTTAAATTGGTCAGGTATGCTGCACCTAAAAAAATTGCTTATCACTTCACGAACAACATTTATACTTATATCTATTTAGAATCTCAAAAGAGCACTTTTTCCTCATCATTTCTGACATTTGACATTTTCAAGCTAGGATTCAGACCAGTATTTTAAACAGAATACTCTCTCGCTCTTTAGTCTGTCTGCAATGTGTCTATGTATCTAAGGCAACTCTGCTAGTTAAAGTTAAATCCTGTTTGAGAATATTAAGGACTTCTCGAGCTATCGTGGCCACTTGCTGATGCCTTAAGTGCGTGCCAACGTCAATTCCTGGGGCTGTCACTCACTCAGGGCACACGTTGGCAGTCGAGTTCTCTTGACGGCTTTGCATGGTATTAGCGCTTTCGCAATTATATCAGCCAGTTGTTTATTAAATTTAACGTTTACCTTGACGTTTATTACTTGTGTGGCAGTTATCTAATGACCTCCATTGGCACACTTGACATTGAGGCTCAAAATCGAACAAAAGTCATTTGCAATTTAGGTAATAATTAATTGTTAAGAATTATATTTAGTGCTAAGCTTGACACGAACTTTTAAATCTAGACGAATTCCAACTTGCCTCCAAATAGTGTTAGAGAAATGTTCCCATTTGTTTGATAGTTTTAGGAATTTTGTAAATATTTTGTAAAAAATATAAAATTCAATAAAAGAAAGTTTCATTAAGTTGACGGAATTATATTTATATTGCATTAGAAATCGTTGTAATTACAAAATGTTAATATCAAATATGTAAATATTTATTAAGTTAAGGCCAATCCGAAACATATGAGTGGAATAATATTGGAAGTCTCCCTAGAGGAGTGAACTGGAAAACTTGTGCTTACACAACTAGAATGGGCGATAGTCACGATCGTGGTCACGCTCAATGATCACCGTTTCGTCATGCTCCAAGTGCTCCTCCTCAATGGTTATGGTCTCGTTGACATCCTGGGCGCGCTGCACCAAAGCCGGCGCACTTGCTCTGCGCACTGTGACAATGGTTGTGTGAGCCGGCGAGAGGCTGGCGTCGGAGTCAGCTAGCGGCAGGATGTAGGTTTCGCCCAAGTCGGCACAGGATTCGTCTTCGAGGTTGGAGGCATCGCTGGAGCGCATCAGACTGGGGCTGCTAATGCCGAACTCCAAGAGCAGCGGATCGATTGGCGTGTGGTCGGTCGACTCGGGACTCCAGCTACTTCTTGCCGGTGGCTGGCGCGGCAGACTGTTGTGGCACAGCGGATTTGCTGCTGCTGCCAGCGAGGGCTCCAGCTGCAGTTGCTGACCCCACAGTTCCGCTGCTCGGGCGCGATTGTGGTCGGCTCGCAGCTGGGACGGCTGCGGCTGCGGCAGCGGCTGGAGGCGTTGCGACTGGCGGCGTCGCCGTCGACGGTGGCGATCGGGTGTAGTCCGCGGCGGCTCCTGCCGTTGGCTGATACTGCGGCTGGTTGGTTGTGGCTGCGTCTGACGTGGCCTCATACTGATACCCAGACTGGCCATAGTCAGCGGCGCCGTAGTCGTAGCCAGCGTTGCCATCGTAGCCATACTGCTGGGCGTCGTATGGCTGCTGGGCATAGGCGCTGGGATCGTAGGCACTGGCGTCGTACTGCTGCTGATCGTAGGCGCTGTAGTCTGTATTGTAGGCGGCCAGATTGGCGCTGCCGGCATTAGTGACGTTCCCATCGCCAAGCTGTGACTGTGACTGTGACTGTGGTTGTGACTGTTGCTGCTGTTGCTCCGGCTCGCCATTGCTGTAGCGTCGATTGAGTTGCGCTTGCTGCTCCAATTGCTCGCGCTCCCGTTCCCGTTCCCGCTTTTCACGCTGCTCTCGCAGCTGTTGCAGCTCCCGATCTCGCTCCTCGCGTTCGCGTTCGCGCTGGCGCTCGCGTTGTTGCTCCTGCTCTTGCTGCTGCTGCTGTTGCTGTTGCTGCTGCTGCTTTTCGCCCATGCCAAGGTTGTCCTTGAGATTTTCGTCATCGTTATCGTTGAGTCCATAAGTGCGGCTTGGCTCGGGCAGGAGACTGGCGCTACCGTTACTGATGCTGCTCTTGCGCGCTCCTGCAGCTGCGTTAGCAGCTGTGTTGCCGCTGCCGCTGCCGTTGCCGTTCCCGCTGCCGTTGCCGTTGCCGTTGCCATTGGTGTTGTCGGCAGCTGTTGCTGCTCCTGCGCTTGCGGCATCATAGTTGTAGGAGTTGCTCGGCTTGCTGTAGTCGTCGTCAGCGTTGTTGTGTAGTTGTGGGGTGCTTTGTATGGGTTCAATTGTTGTGCCATATGTGGACGGCTGGTAGTCATATGCGGCTGTAGTCACAGAAATTTTGATTAGTGTTGCAAGCCAATTGAACGCAAGGATCTAGTGTAAATGTTGTGTTTAGTATGGGCAATGTTTGCATATGTAGCTGATTAGCTTAGAAGAAGCTGTTGCCGCCGGGCGCATCCCCTACACCAGTCACTGCCGCGGCTTGTGTATCTTTTAATGAGAAATGCTGTCGTTCAAGATTTACCTTTGCCTGCGCCTAAGCTAGTATAATCATGCGGTGTGGTATCTAATTTACTCATATGCTCTTCATTGCTTAACATGCGATTGGACAAATACTCTAGATTCGATTGTAAAGCAGATATTTCCTCTCTAGAGGGTAGCAAACGGAGAGACAGATAGAGGGAGACAGAGAGGGAGACAGAGAAGAGGAAAGAGAACGCTTGTTAGTCAAATACAAATTCTTTATCGACAATTACCTGCAAGGTGTCAGATTGGTGTACTTTCGATAAACAATTGCGTTCATCATTTGCCGCTGCCTCTTCCGAGCTAAGCTCATTAGCGCTATTGCCATTGTGCACTAATTGTGACTTGTATTTACACCAGATTTGCCGCAGACGTGCCATTAGCTGTTCGTTTGTAGCACGAAGTTGTAACTTGTCTTGACTGAGGAGATCGAGATTGAGATATTTCAAATGTGCGAAAAAGTTACTAGTGAAATAATTGAGTAAAATATAATAATTCAATAACAATAAATGATTTAAATGCTAAATGACTTGTTGTTTAACAAAAATCTAACAGCCTTTAAATGTCTCGCTAAATAGTTGTATGTACTATACAAATATAAATAAATATATTATGATATATACACACATATGTATACAAATATACATATACACATATATATGCTATTCATATATATTCATAAATATATCTAAAGCGTAAACAGCTTCTGCTTCACATAGCTTAATTAAAGTTAAGAATTCAGCTTTTAAATATTTGCACTTTCAGAGTTATCAAAATATTGGCGAATTATATTTTATTTTAATTTATTTAGAGCAAATTTTTTTTATATAATTTTTTTTTGTCATTAATTTTTTATTTTATTTATATTTTTTTTTTCAGTTTAGTATATGAATTTCTGAATTCAAAGCCCGTTAGTCTATTCCAATTTCAGATTCAGATGCAACATGTCAAAAATCTAAAATATGCTCAGTTTCTTGAATGTCAACTCAGAGCCGAAAACCAATATACTCTTTTTAAGTCTTGGAACGCATATAAAATGTCAACTCTAAAAGCAGTTTAAGCACTAAAAAAACTTTGAGAACTTAGAGAACTCAAAAACCAAAAATTTTAAATAGTTGCCAAAAGGAAAACAAAAATCAAATCATTCCAATACTTTGCATAATGCACTGACAGAAAAATGTGTTCACTTTTCTAAGCAAATTGCAAACTAATTGATGAACTGTTTGCAGTATGGATTATTGTGGCATTGTTTTGGGCATATTAACATTATCAAAGTTTGGTGGCCTGCTCCTGGTCGTCGTCGTCGTCGTCATCGTCATCGAGGACATCCTCGAATTGGGCAAGTTGTTCATCGATTTTGGCCAACTCTGGCGAGGTTTCCTTGACGAAGGTGTTGTTAAGCGCCTGTGCCACGGCGTCCAGCTCTTTGACAAAAGTTTCGTTCAGGGCATTGACCTTGGGCTTTGGCTGCTTCGACTGCTTGGGCACCAGGCGTACGTTAACATCGACTTTGACGGGTGGGCGCGGCTTCTTGTGGCAGCCATCGCGCTGCAACAATTGCTCAAAATATAGTTTGGGCTTGATGCTGGCATTTAGCGCATTGCTGTTGCGACCTTTGCATGTTGCCGCTGCTGGTGTTGCAGTTGCTGTTGCAGTTGCTGTTGCCTCAGTGTCCACCGTCAAATGCGAGCTTTGACATGGGGTCTGACAGCTATTGGCACTGCTAATGGTCTGATTCAAAACTAAATGCTGTTGCAGCCAAGGCAACAGCTCCGTTTTGCATGGATGGCAGCAGCTGGACAGCTGCTGGGCTGCTGCAGGTGCACTTGTTGCTGTTGCTGTTGCTGTTGATGTTGCTGGTGCAGTGCAATATTTTTGCTGTTGCTGGTGTTCATGGTGTGTGTCTAGGGTAAAGTCATGTGCGTGACAATGCATGCTCTTGCTGTGTGTGGTTTGTGTACGCGCTGTAGCTCCTCGATTGCGACTGTTGCTGCTGCTGCTGCTGTTGTTGTTGACGTTGACGTTGTTGTTGTTGCCAAGCTCGGCGCTGCTGTTGCGCTTACGCATTGCAGACTTTGTATGATCGTGTTCATGCTCGTGCTTGTGTCGCATAAAACTGGGGCAAAAACATTTCGGCTTGGCGCCCATTGTTGCCACTGCTGCCGCTGCTGCTGCTGTTGTTGTTGCTGTCTCTGCATTGCTGTTTCTGTTGCTGGCGTGCATTCGGTGCGTATTGTAGCTTGTGAATTTTGGCAACGGCGGCATCTTGGCCAATTCGTTGGCCAAACGCTTATTGCTTTCGATTATATTCCTCAGTATCTCGTCACCATTGTCAGCATCGGCAACCTCATTGTCAACAGCAGCAACATGCTCGTCCCTGGGCTTGACTTCATCTAAAACTTCCACATCAGGCAGCAAAGTGTACGCGCTTTCGCCTGCGCTTGCTGTCGCTGCTGTTGCTGTTATTGGCATCGATTGTGTGGCCAAAGCTGCGTTTGTTGCAGTTGGCGAGGTGGCTGCAGCTCTTGTTGTTGCTGCTGTTGGCATCGCCAATTCGCACACTGGTTCTAAGTTTAACAAATGTCAGAGTGACGCAGGCAGGCAGCACAAAAGAGGTTTGAAGAAGTACAGCGTGTTAATCCAGTGTCAAGCTCTGGTAGATCTTGTTTGTGTTTAACGAATCTCAAAACAAAATAAATTGCGCTGGGTGTGGCAAAATGAATATTTGACTATTTTTTGGCTGGCTGGCCATGAGTTTCATATTGCGTTGTGTTTTTAATTTTCATATAGTAAAAGGTTCAGATTATGCATAATGCATGGATGATGCTACTTTTGATGAAATCTGCAAGCTTGACAAAGGCACAACAATTGCCCAAGTCTAGTTCGAGTGCTCAGGTTCAACTACTAATGATTATTTAATACAGGTGAATTGCACAAAATATTGCAGTCAGTGCCTGGGAGTTGCTGTCGAGAGAGGTAGCTTTAAAATGCATTTGATAATTACTTGTGCTTATAGGTTGTATCCTCTAATTTGCCGGTTAAGGTCTTACACTCGCCCGTCAATTTATCCATGAGTTGCTTCTGAGACGTTATCATTTCTTCGAGCTCATTTACCGTTTCCGCTACAAAGAGTAGACAGACAGACAGATTGAGGTGAGTTATTAGTGAATGAGGTGCGAGTATAAAGAGTATCATTAAGGCAACGCGCTACAAGACAAACTCATGGATAAACTATTGACGTTAAATATATATATTTTGCTTCGATGTGGAATTAAATTGGTTTGATTGGAGTTCGAATTAAAGACAAGTAGCTTGAGCACATTCACGCACACAATATGAAAATCAATAGCTCAACCAGAGTTTAGAGAATGTGTGGGATTAACGAGAGTTGGTGCTTGAGAAGGGTTTATTTAATTGGGATATTCTCTAATGGTGTTTAGAAATGGTATCTATATAGAAACATAAAGAACCTGCTCACATACCATGCTTATCCTGCATCTCTGAAATGCGTTTGTCCAAGTCCTTTTTGGTTGGTCGAATTTCGTTCTTCAGCTCGCCATAAGCCAGCTGCAAATATCATTTCAGTTGCTGACTATCATAGCTGGTTAACACTGTCACGTACCTCCTTCTCCAAGTTGGCGATCTCGTCATTGAGGCGCAGAACTTCGCGTTTGGAGTGCAGCAGATCGGCATCGCCGCGATCCAGCCGCTGGCGCAGCGAGTTTATCTCCGCCGTGAGACGAGCTGCCTCCGTCTTGGCTTCCCGTGCCGCACGATCAAGCTGCAGGCGCAGCGAGGTGATGTCCTGCTCCAACGATTGCTTCTCCGCATTGGCCTGGGCCATGTCGGCCAGGAAAGTGGTACGATTGGCGCGCAGCTCCATCTTGAGCTCCTCTATTTGGGAATTGCGATTGGCCACATCTCGCTTGAGATCGGCTTCGTAGCGCTTCTGGCGCTCCAGCTCCAGTTGCAGCTTGGCAACCTGCTCCCACTGACTGCTCAGATCGCCGCCCAGCTGATCCACCTGGCTATTATAACGCCGTTCCGCACTGGCCCGCTCCTCTGCCAAGCGGCGAGCCATCTCATGCTGCAATTCCCGCACGCGCTCATGCTGCCTGTCCAGCTCGTCTCGTAGGTGGCGCACCTCGAGCTGCAATCGGGAAATTTGAGACTCGGTAAATTTGATTGATCACTGGACTTATGTCTTCTTGCTGCCAGCAGACTTAAATTGAGTCCATGAACTGTTTCGAGAGCACTTACCTCCGCTTGGGAGCGTTCCATTTGCACTAGATCAGTTATGTAGCGCTTGGAGCTGGCGCTGTTGTGGTGCTGCGACTTGGCCTCGTCCAGCATGCGTTGCAGCTGGCGCACAGACTCCTCCAGGGCGGTCTTGTCCTGCTGCAGCAGCTCCAGCTGCTTGCGATGCGTCTCGCAGTTGACACTGCCCAAGGTGGCGACAGCGCTGAGGGGATCCGTGTGGGCCAGCTTGCGCTTAAGCTCCTCGTTCTCGGTCTTCACGCGCTTCAGATCGATGTTGGCCTGCATCAGCTCTGCCTCCAGCTCGCTGATGCGTGCCTCGTAGACAATGTTGGGCGCACTGGCGTAGCGCGGCGATTGCGGCTTCAAGTTGCTCTTCCGTGGCGTGGTTGGAGTTTTGCGGCCAGCATAGAGCAAGTGCTCGTCGCTGTCCGAAGAGGGGCTTGTGGTGGTCTGCAGCGCTTGGGGTGGGGGCTTGGCGGTGCCACCGCCTAGGGCCGCCAGCTCCGTACGCGCATTCTCAGTCAGATGCTCATTCTCGTTGATGACATCCTTCACCTTGCCCAGCAAATTGGTCAGCTCGCTGCGACAGTACTTGGACTCCTTTTCAAGCTGCTCAATGTAATCCTCTTGCTTCTCTATGAAGCTGAAGATCTCGACCGGCGCCTGCACGCTGTCCGTGGGCATAGTGGGCACAGGCATATTGCTTGGATAGAGAGCTGGCGTCGTGGCTAGGTTCTCCTTAGAAGCCGAGAGATAGCCAGAGGTATAACTCTTCTTCGGACGATAGGCGCTGATGCGTGACTTCTGGCTGGGCGACAAGTACTTGGAAATGTCCGAGAAAACGGGTCGTTCGATGACCTAAAACAGGCACAAGCTCTAAGCAAGCCAAGTTAATAGAAACTCAGCTTAACCTACCGACAAGTTGTCCGAGAAATTATCGCCTGAGTCCTCGTTGAAGTTGCGCAAATACGCCGATGCACTCCCCAGCCCCTTGGGCGTGGCTACATAGGAGTTGTCGGCTAGCATTACCTTCAGGCGGCCCACAGCCTCGTTGTACGCATAGTTTGTATAGTCCATGGTCTTGCTCTTCTTGCCAATGCCCTTCGAGGACTTCATCGAGAAATTTCTAAAGTTGCGAATAGAGAAACACACAACACTTTTGTACTCTACATCTATAAGAAATCACATCCTGTACAACTTTCTGTGCAGTTGGTAAAAAATGTATCCCTATAAGAGCGCATGGTGCGCGAGCTGGACAAGGACTGAGGCTGGCCTTTCCACTGGGGGTGACAAATGCAGGCTACGGTTTGGTTGCCCGGACAACAAGTTGGCCAACATACAAATGTGTTTAGTCCTCTAACCCTCTGCACGCATACACAGCAATATTTTTGACCATGTGTACACACGTCATGGTTCAGTGGACTCGCCTTGTTTTCAATTTCTCTTTTTCCCGGCCAGGGTATTAAATGCTTAATTCATTTTGATAATTCGATGCGATATAAAGCATGTAAATTTGAAAGTCTTTCTTAAGTTGATAAAGCGTTGTACTTTAGTAGGAATATTTCGTGTAAACCAACTTGTGCTTAATATATTATTTTAATATATTAAGCATAATACATAAATATTTTAATGTTAATCTACGTAAGCCCTCTTTCCTATCTCTTAAGTAAGTTGCGTATCCGTAAATTTAGTTAATACATCTGTAAGGGTATGCAATATTCGGTAAGTGGAAATTAATGAACTTTTTCAATATGCAGCAAGCGAGGGTTGCTTAATCAACAGGATAATAGTTTTCAACATTTGAAAAGTTTTATTTCAAAAGTTATATTTTTGCAATTATTAACAGTATTTCTAGATTTGTTCATGCATCAGTCAAATAAACATTTGCTCTAAGAGACTGTTATAAATAAATATAATTAATGCATTTCTGGTTTGTGGAAAAACGCTAAGAAATACTTAATTTTTGATATATGCACAAAAATATATATACATATATTTAAAAATTGATTATTTAGTTAGACGCTTAATTGCTATAGAGCTTAAAATTGTTGTTTAATATATTATTAAAAAATATGTTAAATGTTTCAATTATGCTTAAAGCCAAAGATTAAATCTTACAGATAAAGATATTGAAATATTTACTATAGCCATATTCGAACTCAAACCATTTCAGTTCATATACGTGCATAGCCACGTAGATGTAACTGATTATTTATTTATTTTTCTGTGAAAATAAAATTTAAATTATTTAATATAATAATAAATATATATATATATATATTTACCTAGTTTCCAGATTTACTTAAATTTTATTTTCTCAGAAAATATATACATATAAATTTATTTAAAAAAAATATATATATCTATATATATATATAAATATTATAAATAATTTAAATTTTATTTTCACAGAAAATACATGCATATAAAATTACAAGTAAATATTTCAATATCTTAAAATTATTAAAAATATGTCTTTGATTTTGTTGCATACTTTTAGAGCTTTTCAAATTCATATTTAACACTGAAATATTCAATTCCCGATTCTTATCAGTCGTATAAGCATCTATACGCACGATGTCTGTGCACCTACCTCGATCGCCTTTTAACTCGTCCGCCTGCGCTGCTCAAGCTGCAGATGCTCTCCTTGTCGGAATATCCCGAGACGCGATTCGGCGGCGTCAGATGCCGCAAGTTCTCGTTGGTCAGGAGAGATGGGAAGCTATTTGGATGACTGTTGCCGACAGCTTGCGGTTGGGCTTGCGAATGAGCGCGAGTACTTTTCAAGTTGTACAAAGGAGCGCCGTACTTGAGCAAATTTTCAGTTTTCATTTTACACAAGGCGGGGCGAAGCCAACATGGGGGCACGACGGAAACTAGGTCTTGGGGGGTCGATTCTTAAAAGTTTGTTACAATTTGTTCTGCAATTGGACTGGCATGCAAGGCTAAGTGGGGAGAGCACTTGTGGTATGCACTTCCTTCCGCTTGGCGGCTATGCTTTAATTGTTTCTTTGAGCTGGCGTTAAGATGCGGTGACGGCGAAAATCCGGACGCGAACGTGGACACGAGGCACGACGGGATGGCTGGACGACAGGGCTTTGAAACGTGTTGAAGTTAAACTGAAACGCTCGCGCTCACATGTCAAAGCTTTTATAGACTCGCTATTACAACACAATTCTTCTACTCCAACTTGACACATGTAGGTAGGCAGGCAACCCCTCGGTTAGTTGCCCGGGCTGCATATATGTATATAGTTTAGTGTGCTTTTAATGTGTTTGGTGCCATGGCGTGCCCAGCCAGAAATTCCACAGCATAATGTTAACATTTGTGCGAATGCACAAACTGTCTCCAGTGGCGTTCACTTGAAGGGGCTACGGCCGACGTCCCTGCAATCTGTGTGTGCCAGACGCCGCTGCGCTGAAATTTGGCTGTGCGTCTGTTTGATCGATAGCTGAAATGGCCGACGTTTGTCGCCACCAATGTATTGAAAGCACGCTCACACATCTGTGCCAATATTTGGCTGTGTCTATTCTCTTCCTCTCTCCAATCAACTACACCCGCGGGCGCTGTCCCGGTTGTTCAACTCGAGCAAAACGGGGCCAAAAACATTTTCGAATCGAAATATAAAGAGCAGTGCATATTTTTAGGGTTACTGCGAGTGGTTTATAAATACCTTCGAGTTGCCATTGACAGTTATAAAGTTGCCGCTGACTGCTTTATATTGTATAATCAAAATATTGACAGGCTGCCAACTAATCCGTTGCTAAACGATCTCAAATTAGTGCCTTCAACCAGATTCAGGTTGACATTGACGTGCCTGTAATTATGTTATTACTGCAAAGTGCGAATACAATCGAAGCTGACTTAAATAATTAGAGAGAAGCAGTTGGAGTAGAGAAGAATTTAAGTCTCACAAAATTTTGGTTTTCATTTTAATTTAGAGATAAATTCAAAATAATATATGTTTTTTTTTAATCTTAGATGATATTAAAAATAATAATTATAAATGAATATTATAAATGAATTATGAAATCTCTACAGAAGATAATTAATATTATACCTATAAATAAATTGAAATATTTTTAATAAATGTAAACAGTAAAAAAATTAATAAAAATAAATAAAACAAAATCAATAATAATTATTTTAAATGTAAAATAAATAAACTTAAATATATTATAGCTCTTTCTGAAAATAATAAATATTTTTTTTTGTCTTCTGGCTATTACATTTTTTTTAATATTTAAAAAAAGTATTTTCATTTATAATTCTACTAAAATAGTTTAAGTTTCAAAAATCTTGTAAGATAAATTTACTTTCTTAATTAACAAAAATTTAAAAAATAAATAAAATAAATATTTATTTGCTGTTTTATGGCTATTACATTTTTTAATATTCTAAAAATAAGTTTTTTCATTTATAATTATTATTAAAATATTTTTAGTTCTACAAATTTTGTAAATTAATTTTAATTTTGTAATTAAAAAAAAGATTTTCTCGCTTTATATATTTGAGAATAAGAAGAAGACGCGGAGTTGAAATAATCGTTTCGGTTTTCACTAATTTGTGGAGCGGTGCACACAGTAACCACAGGGGCACCAGGCACATGTGGAAGCGCCTGGGCTGCCAGCAATTGATCTAGAGATCGGAGCAGTAACTTATGGGCAAATCACAGACATTTAATAGCTCAAATAACTCAGGCCGAGTGGCTGCTACCAGGAGGGCAACCGCGCCGCCGAACGGAGTCTGAATCCAGCCGAACTGTGCCGAGCCCAGGGAAGGCGCGCGCAATCAATCAATGCAATCTGTGTTATCATGAATAATTTCCTAGAGGGCATATTTGGGGCTGTAATTGTGAGTGAGTGTGGAGTGGAGAAACCCTTTTGCTGTTGTCCGAATGCGCTCGTGTGTTGCATCATTATCAGCTTCTTGCGATTTAATTACCAAGTCCAGAATGCGGGGTCTAGAAAAAATATTAACCCTCTGAGATAAACGCATAATGCCGTACTCCCGTCCCTATGTGAATATCTGCAATACAATTCATAAACATAAACAGTGACTAGCATGTGAGGCACTCATGTGCGTGTGTGTGTATGTGTGTAAGTGTTATCGATCGTGGTCAATGTTGTTGGCAACAACAAACAGCCCGGACTTAAGACCTGGTCAGATCCAGGCCCAGGCCAAGTCCAAGTGGAAGCCCTCGGGGCGCTCTCAGCAATTTTCATTGCTGTCGCTGCTTTTGCTGCTGCTGCTGCTGTTGTCGTGGCCATGGCTGTGGCTCTGAGTCTGACTGTGGCTTCAGCTTCAGCTTCGGCTGTGTCTGTGGCTCTGTATTCTGTGCTCTGATCGTTGTCGCGATCTGCTGCCTTGGTTGACTCTGGCTTTGACTTGCTCTGATTCGGCGTCCAAGCCAAGCCAACAATGTCGACGTCGTCGTTGCTGCAACTATTTACAACACTGCATTCCTGCGCCGCAGTCATTCAAGAAGCCAAAGCCAAGCCGAAGCCGAAGACAGAACCACAGCCACAGCCACAGCCCGAGTCGGAGACAGCGACAGAGCCGTGGACGCTGGCTGCTGAACTTGTTTTATACCACTTTAGCTTATGTGTGTGCGGTTGAGCGAGTGCTCCTTCAGCAAATGCTGCCCAAGCCGCCTGCCTCATAAATGCTGTAATAAGCCCACAACAACAACCACAACAGCAACAACAACGTTAGCATTGAATGTGCGCTCGAAACATGTTTATGAAAAGAAAGAAATTCCATTGCAAACAAAAGAGCCAAAGCGAGCGACTGATCGCTGGGAGAGAGGCATGTAACCTAGCTCTCACACACATACAGATGCACATTTACATATTGCCCGGTGCTCTTTAGCCTCTTTCCTCGACCGTTGCCGTTCCACTGTTTGTTGGCCATGAGCACAATAACATTTTCGATGAGTTTCTTTGCACACTCACATATGGTCGGCTCTGTGATAAACTCTGGTTCTCTCCCGCTCTCTTTCGGCGCTTCTCTTCGAGCAAAGCCGTTTGGCTTGTGGAGATATTTATTAAGGCTATGGTGAAATGTCTTGGCTATCTGAGTGGCCTGCTCAAGCATGCGACCAGTGCAAAAGTAGCACAGAATTTTCACCAAACAATCTCCCATTGAAGGAGCAGCCGCGCTGAAAACTATCTGAAACTTGAAAGCAGCGGATATACGGCTAAGCAGAGTAAAGCGACTTAAAGTAAAATTTACAAACATTTTATTTCCTAAATAAACTAGGAAGTTTTTCTCTTGGAGCCTACATAAGTGGAAATAGGAGAATAGTATTTAATATAAGGAAGACAATGAAGCCGCTGCAGACTAACAAAAGTCCATAAACTATATAGAATATATAACCTTAGTCAGATCTTGAGAGACTTGAAATTGGAAATACCTATCATAATGATAAGTTTAATTTCGTAAAGCTTATAATTTACATATTTGAAGCAATAAAAGGCGAGCATAAGGTATAACCTAGTCTAACACTGATGAGTCCAAATGGTTCCAGTTCCGCCTATTTTGAATTAAATTCAAAATTAACATTACACGATGCATAACGAAAGCGATTAACGAATAAGTAGCTTTTAAGATCTGCCAAAAGCAGACATCAGAATTACTTTTGCTATCAACCTGAACACTGAATCGCGCACTGCAAATATGGCCAGGCATCTACAGGCTTACGTAATCTTCGGCAGTACGTTGAAGTGGGGCGTTGAAGTAATACTCAATATAACAGAAATATTGCTTTGTAATTGCAGTTCTGCTCCTGTTACATTTTCCGCACAGCGCACTCTCATTTATCAGCGTGGATAAGCTTAAAAATAAGTTAAAAGACGTGGTCATCGCAACGGGCAATACTGTCGAAGCTGTTGGACATGTGGGCGAGTCCACGGGTGATGTCTTCTTGAACATCAACGAGGCGCAGGGAAAAGCTTTTTCTATATTGGGAGCAATTTTCGATACTGTCAGAGGCTAGGTAGAACCAAGAACCCAAAATGCCAGCAAACAAACTTTAAATTGATTGAAAACTGAATGGTCTAGGTGGATATTCAAAATAAAGAGCAAATAATATTCCGGCTTATACGTTCGTAAAATAATTATTAATTAAATATTTTTAAAATATCCAAGTGAGGTCGCCGAAACTGACTGATCTGAAGATACTTCTATATGGTTATACAACCACTTTACTCTTTATAGAGAACAGACCAGCAGAAGGAAGCAGATTACATAAACCAATATACTCTTATAACTAAGCTAGCGAGTATTTTAATGCGAAACGGTTTCACTAAAAATGAAATTAATATGGTTTCTCACTTTAGTTAGTCTTTTCGTTTGTTGTCTTTGAAGCAATTTCAAGAACTACATTTATGAGTACTCATACTTTCATAACAAAGTATACAAGTAACAATACTGCGGTTCGGAAGGCCTACGATTTGCCATGCCACAAGAGGCATATTAAGAGCCAATAGGCTGGATAGTTACTGTTGGTTCGTTAAATGTGGAGAGTCTAGCGATAATACTAACGCCCTTAGTAGGCACAGATATATTACTTTTGGGCAATATATGGCTCCAAAACTGAGAATGATAAAAGGTTTAAGGGCGTAACCATTTTTTTGTTTCCTTTAACAGTATAGATATAGAACAGATAGCCGTGTGCGGCTTGCCACGCCTCCCAAACAATAAACAAACATATTTTTCCAAAAATATAATATTAATGGAAAATGTAGGGCAGACTCAAGCATGAAACTTACAACTTCATTGCTTAAATTGCGATTTCTCACCGTAATTTGGTTATATAAAATATTGGCTGAGAAACGCAACTTATATTATAAAAGAAAAAAATAAATATTTATATATATTTATGAACTTTTATATAATTATATTTTATATTCATTTTTTTAAAAATTTTTTTTTACACTTTTTTAATTATTTACTTATTCACTTATTTTTATATTTATTTATGTGTTTATTTATTTATTTATATATTCATTAATTTATTTATTTATTTATTTATCTCTGTTTTATGTATTTATTTATTTATTATCTTTTTGTTGCCACTTCGATGCGGCAAGTTTGTTTTTAAGCAATTTTTAATTTTTACTGGCAACGCCGCCCAGCAAAGAGTCGAAGCTGGCAGAGAAGAGAATCTTGTTGAGAGAGTCAATGAGCAGAGATGCAGAGAAGTGACTCACACACACCATGTTAAGCATGGCCGCAGCCCAAAGAGGCTCGGTCACTGTGCGACGGGCCACATGCTCAGTTGCCATTTACCTGTTGCCGTGCGCTGTAATTCGTGCAGTGTCGTTGCGGATGAAACTGAGTCTTGAGGCGCCGCATTACGTTGCGTGCCTGCCTGCGCGTATGTGTGAGTGAGTGATTGAGCGAGCGAGCGAGTGTGTATAGTGCGTCCGTGTAGTGGTTGCTGTTGCTGTGCTCAAAGCAAAGGCAGCAAAAAAGATAACATAAAGCAAAGTAAAAGAGCCACAGTGAAAGATCAGCGCACACATACGTGCACACTCACACACACACACAATCCCAGCTTGCTTGCAATAAAAATAAAGTAGAGAAAAATTGTGTGAAATGGAATAGCAAAAGGAAATTAAAACACACACACACACATATAGTGTGTATATATATTTAAAACGGAATTTAATGAAGCCGCAAAAACTGCCAAATAATGAAAAGCTGTGCGATGCATAAATGAAAACTAAACGAGTGACGTGTATAAAAAAGGTAGCAACTGCTATTTATTAAATTGCAATTCAAATTCAGGTTTTCTCTCTTGCTGCCTCTCTCTCTCTTAGTGCATCTCTCTGTTTCTCTTGTTTTTGTGTGGCTTCAGTAAACGCAAAATTGAAAAAAATATAAAAAAAATCGTTTGCTTTTTTTATGGTGCCAGAACGTAAAATTCTAAAGGAATAATTGCAGCTCCACGGATATCCTAGACAGACTTTAACTTGGTAAATTATTGCACATCCTCCTTCTCCCTGCAGATACTTGACTGGGACTCTGCACTGGTCCAAACCAGTTGCTAAGTTGTCACATTAAAATCACACCTTCAAAGAAATATTTGTTGTTGTTTTTTTTTATTTTTTTTGTTGTATTTTTTGTGTTTTTGCTGTGCGGCTGTTGTGGTTTTCTATATATGCACCACTTTGCCCATAACTCGTTCGCGCTCTCACAGATACACACACACACAGCTACACCCTCTCTGGCTGCCTGGCAATTTCGCATGCAAATTATACGTAAAGGAAGTCAGACAGCCTCAGCGTTTGCTGCTGCTGCTGCTGCTGCAGCAACTGGTTGATCTGCATAGACGCCCATTATAAGTAACAGGCTGCATGCAGCAAGCTGCTGCTGCTGCTGTTGTAGTTAGTTTTTGCTTTCATAACTGGTACATACACAGGCTCACATACATCTGAATGCAATGAGCGAAAAAGTTATAAACATTAACGCAGCCACCAATGCTAGTTAGTTTCTCATTATTGGCCATTCAGGCTGCGCGCCTAGGCAACGGATATGATAATTGCCATTTAATTTAATTTTATAATACTCATTTGCAATGCGAACAGTCGCAGCAAACATCAATTACAGCCCAATCGGCGCAGTGCGACTTTCTGTCTATTCCCTTTCTTGGAAATATACCACTCAAATACATACAATTATCTACATCTATTTACATATATATGTATATATATATCTATATCTATCTTTATATATCTGCACATGTTCACCCCATGCTGTTCCATCTGTGTGCCAAATGGTTTCTTGGTTTTTGTGTCTGTTATTTGAATGCCTGGCAGGCATCCGCTATGTTTTGCTAGCAACGCGGAAAGCATATGGTCTTTTTTCGTGTACTATCTTGCCTCGAAAGGTTAAATGTTAATAAATTGTTAATTTGATATCTGTCAAAGATTTGACATAACATTATGACATTTGAGCAAAGCACTTTCCTTGCCAAGCATCCACAAGAGACAAGTGGCGGCTGCTGCTGCTTGCCATTGCGGGCCAGCTTTCCAAATGTCCGTGGCTAAACAAAAGACTTAAGCGACAAACTTGATCGTCTCACAAAAAATATCATAGGCCATAGTTTTAGCCCGCCTGGCACAGCCATTTAATGCATTTAACCACAATTTAAAGTATTTTTATAAAAAATGTCAACATATGCGCATTGCAATGACAAGCCAGCTCCAAGCCAGCCGAGGCTGACCAACTTTGCCCCGTCCGTTCCAGTCCAGTCAGCCATGGCCCGCAGCCGCAATCAGAGCCCCCTACTGCTGGCCCCCCAAGCTTCAGATATCAAAGCCAAAAAGCTTTCAAACCAAAAGCAGCCGACAACATCGTCAACGACGCCGTCGCAGACATGGAAAAGCCGCGCGTCGATTTCATGAGATTTCCAATAAACTTTTAAATACTTTAGCTGGCTACAATAACTATGCCATGCAGCTTGCGAATTCATATCCAGCAAATCAATACAATGGGCAACATACTGATTGCCCCAATTATAGTTTTTACTAACCAAATTAATAGTTAGATGATATTAGAGACAGGCCATAGCCTTTTATGTTCGGATATATAATTAAAAAAAAATTATATTTATATATTTAAAAAAAATATATATCACGTTATGAGATTCTTTATTGCTAAGGATTTTTCATAATAATTTGTATGAAATTTGATTTGACTAGCTCCGAAAAAGAAAGATTTTCTGTAAGAAAATAAAACTGTTGGATTCATATATTTAATTATTGCAAGGAATATTGTTCATATGAAAAGTTTAAATTTAATTTAATTTAATTAATAATATTTTCAATTACTTAACCAACCGGGTTTGTTTTAAAAATTTAATTTAAGTGAATGAATTTTGTCATTTAATTTGTTGTATTAAATCAAAATCTGTTGATTGAGTAAATGAGAATATTATTAATATTTGCATTATATTTGTCTGTGACTTTACGACTATTTTAATATTAAAAGACGTATGCAATGTATTGATCAAGCGGACTTTTACTTAAAATATTTATTTTACTTAAAATATTTAAAATATTTAAATATTTGCAAAATTAATTTGAATTCTTCTCAATTATCGAAAGATTTTAGTTGCTCATCATCAATAATTAATATATTAATTAATATATAGTCAACAATTTTGATCCTCAATTAAACCTATATTAAAATTAAATATTTCAAGAAATCAATTATTAAACGATTCATAAAGAAGAGTCAGAGTAATATATGCTTCGCAGTGAGCCTGTCTGCCGATTTACCTTTCTTGTCTACAATTTTTGTTGCTTGGCTTTTTTTATACACATACAATATATGATTTCATAGCGCTTGCAACGGCGCAATAAGCAATACTGAAATGCAATGCGATGTATTTTTTATTATTTTTTATTTTGCTGCCGCTGCCAGCATTGGCCACAGATGGAGAGGGAGGCGCAGACGTAGCCAGTGATGGTGCCAGAGTCCGAGCCAGAGCCAGAGCCAGAGACGGCGGCAAAGCCAGAGAGTTGCAGTGCAGTTTTGCAGCTCTCACGGCCACAAGCGACAGTTTTGTATTAGAAACGGCAACTTGTAGCTGCAGCTAGTTACGGGCTTGATGACTACTGAAAGATGTAGAGGAGGGAATTCGGCAGGGGAGCGGCTGGCGGGCAGCAAAGGTAGCTGGAATGTTGTCGCTGCTAGTTGGCAATGTTGCCAAGTGACTGACATAGTTGTTGTTGTTATTGTTGTTGTAGTTGTTGCTGCTGTTAATGCTGTTGTTGTGATTGTTGTCATTTCTGTTCTTGCTGTGGCGTTTGTTCTGGTTCTGCTTAGCAGGGCAACAGCGAGCAAAACTTTAAAATTTAATTTGTAGAACAGAACAATTTATGTGTGGCATATTAGAAAGAACAAAAAGAGTTGAGTTCTAAGCCACAAAACGTCACCCTATGCGGGCGTTGTTGCATGCGGGCAGCCATCGATGATCATCGGGCAGCTAGCAGCTAGCAACCCGCAGATACAAAAGATACAAAGATACAGATAACCTGTTGTCGTTGTTGCCTCGCAGCATCTAAATTTCTGTACGTGTGTGCAGCAGAAATCAGACAAAACGGTGCTTTACATTCGTTTTTTTTCCTTTGCTTTTTCCTCTGGGTATTTTCTCTTCACTTGCTCATCAGGCGGCTGCGGCGTCTTTCTTACTTTCTTTCTCTCTGTCGCGCTTTAATGAAATGTAATTTGAAAAATTGCGCGCGGCAAATTGTTGGCTTGTTGAAGTCAGCTCGTTGTCGTCATCGTTAGAATTGCAAATATTTTGTCTTAATTAAAATTTTGCTGCCAAGCCAAGACAAGCCAAGCCACAGACCGCTTCCTCGCGTGCTAGGCAAAAGTCGGGCAAGTCTTTTAAATAAATTAGCGCTGTCTATTCGTTCGTCAAGCATTTGTCGCGTTTGCATTTAGTCGACATTTTTATTGGATTAAGTTTGGCCTGGATTTATGCGCTGTCTTGGATTAGATGCGCCATCATTCACGTTCAGAGTGGTTGAAGCTATTGTTGTTGTTGTTATTGTTGTTGTTGCAGTTGCTGTCGCACAGCATGTAATTTGCGGTAAGTCAGCTTCTTTGCGTTTCTTTTGGGCTTGTTGTGATTTATTTTGTTTTGTTGGACATTACATTTTAGGTTAAGTGGCGTTTATGCACAGTTGACTGTTTCGCCTGTCGCTTTGTTCGAAATTTGGGTCATAAAACAAAAGACTTAAGCAACGAACTGGTTCGTCTGCTTTGACTTTGCATTGGAATTTGAATTATTCCTCCAAGCCAACAGCAACAATCAAACTCAAATAAGATAGAGCAAGTAATCCCCAGCGACGGACAGAGAGAGAGAGATGAAAAGAGAGAGACAGAGACCTCGAGAGAGGCTGAGTATCGTAACTATTTTCCATTGATTAATGACGGGTAATTTTCATCCATTGGCCGCGCGCGCTGATGAACGAATAAGGGAGCCAAAGATTGCGAGGCACAAAGGCATGCAAAGGGCATTCGCCTCAACTCTTCATGGTTCATTATATAAGTTTCGGTTTAATTAGTTTGGCTAAAAAATGTTTTGCATTTTTTAATGAATCTGCCGTTCCAGAGTGAAATTTAAGTTCAGATAATGATAAAATGCTACACAATCATTAAAAAATATTCTCAATTGGTGGTCAAAAGTAGGCTATTACTAATTTCGATGATCGCAGCAGAAAGAGAAAGCTTATCATGGATGCAGATTATCATACAGCCTAAAGGAACATTGAAAATATCAAGATACAAGAAATTTGGAGTTAAATACTAAGTATTTGTTTAATGCAAAAACAAATATAATCCTTGTTGTATTACTGAGAATTTTTGGCCAGCTTTGAATATATATTCGACTTTCTATCTTTACTATACATGCGGTCGGACTTTCTCAGACCTTCTTTTAATGAGCGCCATTCACTGGAATCATCTTCAAATTGTTGTCTATCGTCTTCTATAGATCTATCTACATAAACCATTTCCAATATGCGCCTAAGCATATTTCCAATATTCATCTCACACATTCCAAATTCCGTTTCGGACTCGATTTTGCACTCTTTCCCATCGTTAACTGTGCCAAACCTCGACAACTTTCAATTCTTTTCATGCCCATTTACATAAAGCCTCAAACAGTTTGAATAAATTTATGATCTTTGGTGTTTTCTTAAATTTATTTCTTTGATTTGCCTATTTATTTAAAATATAGATTACAAAGTTTACGTTTTTATTTAAAAATTATTATAAAAAATTATTTTGAATGAAATTTAGATATACAAAATGAAGTAACTAAAGCTAAAATTCATAGATATTAATATTAGATAAACTCTTATTTGGTGAACACTTAAATTTGTGAAAAATTCAGCTTTAAACACTGTTTCGATATATCTGTTAGTCAAAATAAATATAAATAATTAAAATGACACATAATGCCACATTTATAATACAAAACAAATTGCATTTTATGCAAGTTATGAAGCAAAACGCAGAAAATCAAACAGCTCAGCTCGGCAGCTGCACCCACTTTTTGCTTAGCGGCAAGAAATATTTTTCTTGTTTCTCAAAAACTAGTCAGCGCCACCCACTTTCTGTCCACTTCATATATACATATATAACGGTGTGTGTGTGTAGGAGTCCCATTTGTATGGGAATAATCGGGCGGGGCGCTGACAGAGCAAGCGGCAACTGCAACATTTTGCTAAATCAAAATTGACACTATGCAAAAAGCCAACCCACGGAGCGCAAATTGCAACACGGTAGCCACACACACACGCGTACACAACTAGTCACACACACTCACGTTCACATAGTTGATTGTCGGGCCAGACTGGGGCCAGGCGCTCAGCGTGCCATGCCATAGAGGCCAAAAGGTGCCCATACCCCGAGCTCCATTGGCATGTGTGATGTTGTTGTTGTTGTTGTTGTTGTTATTGTTGCTGTTGTTGTTTTGTGGCGCCAAGTAATTTCTGTGTTAGCGTTAGATTTCAGCCATGTGCAGACAACGAACACCACACAAATGGCAAGCACAGCGGTTATTAGTTTTATACGCTGCACAGTGAGGCAAATCTCAAACATATTTCTTTCATTAAAATGTTATCTAAGACCACCAAAATAATTAAGCTATAATTATGATTGGATATTTATTTAATAATTGATTTTTAAATATTTTTAAATATTCTATTTAAAATGTAATTTTATTATGCACTCTAATGCTGTAATTTTAAGAAAACAAATATAACTATTTTTATTTTTATTGAAATTGCAAATAATTAAATTATTATTATATTTAATTTTTAGTTTAAGTTACACAATTGCAGTATATATTTTAAGTGAAAGTTTTCAAATTAATTGATGGGAAAATACAATTACTCTTGCAATTTGAGCCACTGTGCGCCAATGTGAATCACTTTGGTGGCTGCACCACTGTGGCCACCATCGTGGTGACATTTGTTCATTAAGCATATTAAATAATTAGTACTTGTTGTTGTCATATTTTATGTGCTTGTTGCTTGTTGAGCAGCTGAGCCCGCTGAGAGGCTTGGCATATGAGCAGCTTAAGCACAGACAAGGACCAGTTTCCACTAGCCTCAGCTCAAGTGTTGGCCTTTCGGCTTTGCCACAGAATGTATGGCCAAAAATGTGATTTAATTGAATGGCCATTGACGTGCCAGCCAAGGCAACATCGAACTCAATTTCGTAATGTGAACAAACTTCAAAGCTTACGGAAGAATTGGAATTAAGCAAAGGCAAATGGAGAGGTCTATATAATATATATTTTTAGAAGAACAGAAGTGCAAAATATGAGTTTGAATTTGAATAAAAAATTATATTTAATTTAAACTTGAAATAATAAAAAAATTTACAACTTTAAGGCAAAGAACGTAGTTCGGTTTATATAAGTATAAAATAAAATATATTTTTATATTTTAAATAATTTTTAAAGTAGTTATAACATATTTCATATATAATTAAAGTCATTAAACTATACAACATAACAACGATATTTTTTTAGGGTCCAGTTATATGATTCTGAAAGCAGCTGCTGCCAGCAAATGCAACATCTAAACTTCCGTTTATCTGGTCCATATTTGAAAAAATGTATAGCAAAGCAATAAAATTTAAATTGATAGCAATAAAGAATAAATAAAAAATGAACTAAATTTGGACTGCCAACAGTACATAATTGAAAACTCATTCAAGTCTTCTTTGATCACTTCAAAGTCAGAGACTTACAAAAAAATTCCATTAGTTATCATTACAATAAAAAGAAAAAAAATATTGTCGGCTTTAAAATCGAGACTAGTAAAAGTTGTACATATGTTAGCGATAACCCCTTTAAAGCTAAGCCCAGAATACCGATTAATAAATATTTGTGGCTGTAAGTGAGAAACAACAGATGTAAATTTATGCAAATTGCATGCTGTGTTGCCCAATAAGCCATTTGACACTTTTGTCCACACGCGGCTGTGCGACTGATTTGATTATTAATTATTTATTGTCGAACTATTGTGAATTATGGAAAGAAAATACCAAAAAGCTCTCAAATGGAGTCGGACTCCCAAATCTGGCTGTGCCTCTGGGCCTATTCCTTTGCTCATTTTTGGACACGTTCGCTGCGAACCAGTTGAGCGACATTCCATTTGAGGCGCGACAGGCGGCGTCCATTTGGGAGATGCTGATGCTAAGATTAATCAGCTGCCATAAGCCAAATGACAAGACATATATATAAATATATATGTAGTTGATTTTTGGAATTGTTGCCTCAAATGCTCAGTTGACGTTGTTGTTATGAATGCGGCCTAGTGTTATTATTGTTATAATGTTTATTTATGGCATAGCTGGAAAAAATTAATTTCAAATTTGATTACAATAAAAATAAAGCCAAACACACACAGAAACACACTCATGCACAGCTCAGATTCGAAATCGAGCCACTTGTAAGCAGCATTTGATTTACATGCCCCGAAAACTGACTCTAGGTAGGCAAATGAAAAAGCGACCCATCACACAATTGCCACAACTATGGAGGTGTGTGTGTTTGTTTGTGTGTACCGTGACGGCCCAACCCAAGAAATTCCAAACAAATCTAAAGAAGATTTAGCCACAGTCAGCAACAGCAACAAATTTTGAAATAAATTTATTGTTTTCTATTTAGATAGTTGAGTCTATTTGTATGTAAGAAAATTATGCAAAGCTGCCTGAAGATGAACAAATAAAACAAATATTATAGACAAGCGGGACTAAAGTGGCGCATGGTTATGTTTATGGTTGTTCCCTTGTTCTATTTGCCGAATTGGGTTACTTTCAACATCATTTTTTTAAGGTCTTAGGTTACACCAACAACAACAGCAACACAAACAATGCCAGCAGCCGCAACCGACTTTCAGGCCAGGCCAAGCTGCAGATGGCCACGGACTAACATTAGAACAGCCCACGCCTGGCTTATGATTAGAGTTTCCAATATCCCAAGAGGCACTCCAAACTGGTTTCAAGCCAAAAACAAAATAGAAAAAATATATATTTAAGCTGAGGCCCATGACTGAAGATGGCGGGGGGACATATATGACAGCATACGTGTGTCCGTAAAATCAAGCAGGCAAAGAAATCAACTGAATAATTGGTTGGAGGCGTGGGCGAGCTGCTTATTAATTGTTAAATTGTTAAACATTTCAGCTACATATAAATATATTAGGCGCCGTATTTAAATAGCTAATCAGGTTAACCAAAATCTCAACTTTGTGCGGCCTGGCGTGGGCATCAATTGGCTAGAATTCCACTATCAATTATTGTAAAGGTCAAATGCAATACACTCCCAGAAAAAAATCAGAGTCTAAATATATATATATATATATATATATATATGTATATATATATATATATATGTATATATATATATATATATATATATGTATATATATATATATATATATGTATATATATTTGCGCACATGTAGGCACATACGCATACAAATATCTCTGTTTAGGTTGCCAATTGGAGTCGTCGAAAATTCACTCTACGCTGCCCACGCAGTCGCTGCACAATTCATTCCCATGGCCACTGAAGCTTAGGCTAAATATTATTTATGAACATTTTTTTACTATAATTTATTTTTCGCGTTTGACCCAAATTCCATTCTTTGATTGCTGCTGCTGCATAGAGATGATTCTCGTAAAACTTAAATATAATTATAATAGTATGCAAATATATAAATATATTCTTTTTAAGAACTTTAAGGACTCGATTGTTGCATATATATATTTTTGTGTCACTTTATTTTATTTTTAATTCATAAAAATGTAATAGTTTAGAGTATATTCATTTTGCTCTCAATAAATGAGCTGCATAATACTCAGTAATTATTTTTAAAAATTAACTTATATTATAAGGAAGACCAAAGATATTTTTGAACAATTTCTAAACTTTCATTTTGGCTTAAAAAGTTATATGTTAATTTGATACATTAAACTGATTATTCTGGCTTTTAAATACTGAAAAAAGCAACTCAAAGTTAACATATTTTATATAATAAATATAATATATAAATATAATATATATATAATAATTTTAAATAATAATTAATTTCTGATGATATTTATTTATCAATTTAATATTTTATATTGAATGCTGGAAACTCTTTCAAATGAATAATTACCTACAATTGCGCAAATTCCAATTTCTCTCACATTAGTTAACGTAATTAACTAATTGTTTCTATTAATTATTTGCTGCTATCTTTGGTAGATATGTGGCCTAGTCACACAGACAACTGAACAAAAAATGAGAATACAGATTTGAATCTATGGCGAGGTTATGAATCTTTCCAACATTCATACCCCAGATGATTGATAAATGTCTTTACCTTTTTTGATACATTCAATTTATTTTGATTGATAAAAAACATATAAACCCATAATTTTGCTGCTGATAGATCATTTATATCCAAGTATCCAAAATCATGAAATAATTTAATTTCTTTATTTATTATTTATTTAATGCCTAGCAAACTTTCCTCAACTTTTCATTATGCTCTTCAAAGTAGATTATTAATTCATTGATTATTACTCTTTATCCTTGCAGACTTCTAGCTTCAAAGCGAAGTTCACAGTATAAGGCACAATAAAATAAATATCAAAAACAAAATAATGTCACACAAGACGGGCACACGACGTGCCACAGATCTGGAGTGTCCACTGGCATCGCTTGGACGAACTAGCAATGCGGTGCGAGATCAACTGGCGGCGGCGCATTACCATCATCCGCATCCTTTGAGCTCCAGCCCGTTGGATCCGCAAGCCTATAAGATGTCACGAAAGTCACCAAATATCGGATTGAACGATACAGCTGACAGCGCCGACCTCTATCCGCGTGCTTCTCGCAGCTCCACGCCGCATAGCGAGCAGCAGACGCCAACGACAACGGCCACAACAGCCGCTGTGCTGCATATGGTGCAACAGAAGGCGGCCACATTCGAGCTGCGTGGCCGGCACACGCGACACGAACAGTCCTCCACCTATGGCGCCCACTCCACCGCCTCTGTGGGCAGGCATGCGCAACTGAAGAAGTCGCCGGAGCTGCAAACGCTGCCCGCTCCGGCGACCAGAACCATAGCTCCAGTGCCACAGCCGCGCAACTTTCTGACACTCGACTGGTTGCATGGCAATAGCGCCGATACCGAAGACTCCAGCGACAACAATGTTGGCGGCGGCGGCAGCAGAAGACGTGGCCAAGCCCAAGGCGGACGCTGCAGCGTACCCACGGTGTTGAGCAATGGCAACAGCAGTGCCCAATATCTGCTGGACAAGAAGATGGAGTCCCTGTATCTGGGTAACGCGTTGCGTGCTCTGCCGCTGGGAGCCGAGGCGAGTCAGTATCAGAACGAGCGTTACTACCTGGAGGACTACAGCAGCGGGAGCGGCAACGAGCGATTACCAGGTGAGCACACAGCGTACATCGTACAATTCTATCACATGATATTCGGTAATCTGTAGACAATTGCTATTGCTTGGTTGTATTTGACATAGAATATTCTTGTAGAACCTAAAAATCATTGCATTCGAAACGACAAAAGACTTCACGAAATACTAATGCTTCGCTTTTATCTTCATAGAACGCCTGCATCATCCGCGCAACTCCAGTCCCAGCGAGACGAGTGGCTCGGATCGCTATTTGCTCAATCGCAGCACGAATTCGCCCGCCAATGCCTTCCAGCTGGACCATCATCACACCAAAGTGCAAAGCCTCTCCGATGGACTGTGCAATATGGGTCGTTTTTCACCTAGCCTGGACCAAGGCTATGCCACACTGGTGTCGCCATCGCCCACTGGCCATCATCCGAGCAGTACGGCGGGCATAGTAGTGAACAGCAATACAAAGAATAGCAGCCCAAACATTGTTAGCGGCGGTGTCATCGCTAGCAGCACTCCCACCACAACTCCGCGTCGTGGCTTGACCAACAACAGCGGCACGGTCAATGGCACAGCCATCGGACCGCCGCCCTGGAACCGGAAGGGTCCCTTTCGCTGTGGACCGTACTTTGACCGCCTGCCCGACGAGGCCGTTGTGCGCATTTTTAGCTGGTTGGATAGCTGCGAGCTGTGCAATGTGGCACGCGTCTGTCGTCGCTTTGAGCAGCTCGCCTGGCGCCCTGTGCTGTGGAAGTGCATCACGCTGCGCGGTGAACATCTCAATGGCGACAAGACGCTGAAGATGATCTTCCGCCAGTTGTGTGGACAGAGCTGCAATGGCGCCTGCCCAGAGGTTGAGCGCGTTATGCTTGCCGATGGGTGCCGCATCTCCGACAAAGGTCTACAGTTGCTAACGCGTCGCTGTCCAGAGCTAACGCATCTGCAGCTGCAGACCTGTGTTGATGTTTCCAATCAGGCATTGGTCGAAGCGCTAACCAAATGCAGCAATCTACAGCATCTGGATGTGACAGGTAAGTTGGAAATTGTTATTTTCAAATGCTAGAATCCAGTTGATCTAATTATATACCTTCTTGCACGTAGGTTGCAGTCAGGTGAGCAGCATAAGTCCAAATCCTCATGTGGAACCACCGCGTCGTTTGCTCCTTCAATATCTGGACCTAACCGATTGCATGGCCATCGACGACATGGGCCTCAAAATTGTGGTCAAGAACTGTCCACAGCTGGTGTATTTGTATCTGCGACGCTGCATTCAAATTACTGGTAAGCTGCGAAAGCAAGAACCATAATTATCAAAGTTAACATACGTCATCCTAATTTCATGGCAGATGCGGGTCTGAAATTCGTGCCAAGCTTTTGTGTTTCGCTGAAGGAACTGAGCGTTTCGGATTGCGTCAACATCACGGACTTCGGTCTGTACGAGCTTGCGAAGTTGGGCGCCGCCCTGCGATATCTCTCTGTGGCCAAATGCGAGCGGGTTTCTGATGCGGGTCTGAAGGTTATTGCTCGGCGATGTTACAAGCTGCGCTATTTAAATGCACGCGGCTGCGAGGCGGTCAGCGACGATTCCATCACAGTGCTGGCTCGGTCCTGTCCCCGCCTACGCGCCCTCGACATTGGCAAGTGCGATGTGAGCGATGCGGGTCTGCGTGCCCTCGCCGAGAGCTGCCCAAATCTGAAGAAGCTCAGCCTACGCAATTGTGATATGATAACAGATCGTGGTGTTCAATGCATTGCCTATTATTGCCGCGGCCTGCAGCAGCTCAACATACAGGACTGTCAGATATCCATCGAGGGCTATCGAGCGGTCAAAAAGTACTGCAAACGCTGCATCATTGAGCATACGAATCCGGGCTTCTGTTGAGCCAAATAATGCTGGAGCTAAAACTGGCACGTTAAAGCAAAGAGGCAGGCCATATGAGCTAAGATGTTCTAAACAATAAATACATGCACACACAAACACATATTATTAGCTTGTAATAATTGTAGTTCGGTACTGTAAATACTTACTTAAGCATATTGTACATATGGCTGGAGAGGATTAGCTTAGGCCCATAGAGCATTTGCTAGCATTTAAGTAGCGCGCCTTCTAGACTAATTCTTGCATAATAAATTATTTCATATAAACCCCTAAGTCCCTAGGTAATTATAAATGTTTGGCATAATTTTTGACATATGCCGTAACATGTATAAGGAACGCACGTCTAGTGCTTTGTGTTGCTTTTTGTTCGACGTATCAACTGTGCATTTCAGATCAAAGTTGCGCTGGCGTTCCAGCCAATTGTGCACAAGAGAGGGCAAGATTTCCCATTTACTTGCTCGGCTCTTTTTCAAAAATGTTATCAGTTTCGTCAAATCATTGATGTCCTTGATAACGAGCTGCGTCTTCTCATTGATACGATTCAATCCACGTTGTTGTCTACCCATCTGTTTCAAACTCTTTCCATGAAAACTTTGCAAGTGATTCATCCGATGACTTATGTTATCAGAGAATGTCGGCACCTGCTGCAATAGCTCCATAAGTCTAATTTGATCTAAGAGCGATTCGACGGGCAGCTTTGACTGCAGCTTGCGCAGCTGTTTCCTTTTCTTGTCGTTGAGTCTTACTGTTTTTGATGTCAGTAGCTCTTCCAGTTTTAGGCGCATATCATCCACCTTTTTTACCTTCTCGCCATATCTCTGACTCTCCAGAGCCACATTATATTTTGTGATCGTATGCCTGACAATTAGCCAACGAATCTGGTGCAATAGATGCTTTACTTTCTTCTGATCATGGTGATGCCGGCGGACAAGATGCTCGTAGTCTTTTTGCCATTGCTCCTTATTTGAACTAGCCATTTTTATAAAATGCAAATTTGTTGAGATTTCTTGAAAAGGTTGAACAATTAAAATTTGGAATAAATATTATCGAGTAACTTTCATCGACAGACTGACACAGCAAATCGATACTTAAATCGTAATTACAAAAAACGGTCACATATAAAACTAGTGCTACCCATCACTCTTCGAACAGCTGTATCTGGCTTGCCCTGCGTGCCTAGTCTGATTGTAGGTTAGGTACGTTGTATAATGTCAAGCACGTAAAGTTGTTTAGGCTCGTTATTTTAAGTGTACACCTAAATTCACATACAAGTTTTGTCGAGAAACCAGTAAACCAAAGCAGTCATGGCAAAGTATATTGCTCAAATTATTGTGCTAGGTGGCCAGGCAATAGGACGCGCCTTTGCCAAGGCCCTGAAGCAAGAAATCGCCGCATCGCAAGAAGCTGCTAAACGTGCCGGTGGCGGACGACAAGGAGATCAGAGTGCGGAATCAAATTTGCGTACAGGTGGCTGCAACTATGAATGAAAAACAATGTCCGGGTTTTGACTAACAATATTTTCCATAGGTATGACGCTGGAGGAGGCCAAGCAAATATTAAACATTGAGGACACCAAAAACGTGGAAAGCATTACTAAAAACTATGAGCATCTGTTTAACGTCAATGATCGAGCCAGGGGAGGATCATTTTATCTGCAATCCAAAGTTTTTCGTGCGAAGGAGCGTTTAGATCATGAACTTAAGGCGCAGGAACAGCATCAAAAGCCAAAATCCGATCAACAATCAGAGGAAGCGCCTCAAAGCAGAGCAAGGCAGAGGCGCTAAAAATTTATTGTGTCTTCCATCCTCAAAACGAATTAGTTTTTAATTAGATTTTAAGTAGATCCATCTAATTTTTGTTGTTTGTAAATATACAAAATATTTTGAACATTTAAATAGTTTATAATCAGCTGATTGTTCTTTGATGACAACCCTGTATAATCGCAACGCAAAGTTGACTGCGTGGAACAGCTGGAGCTTGGCAGCACTGGTGGACATACAAAGAAAAGAAAAATTCAATGCTACGCAAATATATTGACACTAAATATTCCGTATTTTTTGTGTACAATAAGACGTGTCAATTGTTTGTTTAATTGTCGCAGTCTAACAAGTCTAAGCTCTAACAACGCAAAACAGCTGGCACATGCGCGAACATACACAGAAATTCCAGCACAAAGCAAACGCTGAAATCAACCACCAACAACATCGACTACGACGACGATTTTCCACAGAGATGGTGTCTTCTGGAGCATCGTTCTAGGAGCTCTGACTTTTCTGTATGTGAAAGAGAGGAAGAGAGTACGCATCAGTCAACGGTATTAGTGAAAAGAAAATTCCGCTGTTCAATCAGTTTTCAGAGGACCTTCGAGACAGGCAGGCGAAAATTCGAGTTTTGCTCGCTCTACCAAGCAGACAACAGTTAAAAAACAAACTCAATGAAGTGGTAATTTGGAACGTTACGTTATATAGTAAAAAGTCGAAGGCGTGAAGCGTAAACAAATATCGATTCAACGCGACATTTTCACAGTGCCAATCACTTTGACAGTTAAAGCCTAGTGTACTTTAAATAGTTACAATTTATTTGCCGATTTATTGATTTTCCTTGCTAATGGCAAAAGTTTAATTCGCATTGTTGTTAATTTTTATTGTTTCTCATTATTCATTTTACAGCGTGCTAACATAACTAACTGTAAAAGAGTAAAAAATTTACATAACTAACCCGTTGAAAGTGAAACTACATTGATGCTAAAGAAAAACCTATTACAAAATTCCTGCCAAGTGTAATAAAAGTTAAACGAAGGAAGGAGACAAAGTAGCTGCGAGACAGCAGCGACGTCTGCAGAACACGACAAGAGAGCCAATTGAATTGAGCAAGGGGCAGCGTGACAGAGAGAGCGAGAGAGAAATAAAGAGAGTCACCAAGAGAGTGAACCGAAAGTATCAACAGCCCACAAACAAGGCGCCCACTTTGCGGACGTTTGCACGTTTCTGCTTTCTGAGGTTTTGTCGTCGCGTCAGCTTCGTCTACATCTTCAGCTTCAGCTTCGTGTGGCATTCGTTTTGTGTTGTATACACGACTACGCTAGGCTAATCCTTTCGAGCGCATCGCTGGCAAAAAGCACACAAAACAGACAGAACAGAACAGAACAACAAAGCCAAACATGTTTTCGGGTTTAACAAATCAATTCACCTCGCTGGTAGGCGCAGTCAAGGGCGGCGCTGGCGATGAGGATGTGCCAGTGCCCACAGGCGAAGCTGCCGCTGGCGCTGCAACCACATCTTCAGCCGAGGCAGTTGCCACATCAGCGGAACAGGATGCTGCAGCCGCTGCCGGTGGCGAGCAACTGCTCGAAGGCGAGGAAGGTGCCAAAAGGTAAGTAAACTTCTGAGATTTCAATACTTCTATGCCTCGATCAAAATGCCAAAAAGTTCTCTCGCTGCTTGGCACAACAGATTAGACTCTTTAGCGTGTGTTTATCTTTTGGCAGTTAACGCTCAAGGCCAATGCCTGTTATCTGACAGCTGCACATGCTTTGAAACTAGGACCTATTGGCATTTCACGCCGAAGTCGCTTCGTTCTATGCCTCCAGCAGAGACCCACTTGCGACCCTTTGTTTTCCTTATGGCGTGCTGAATTGACCTTGCAGTTTCTACCTTTTAGCATTTCGCCAATCCTTTTGCCTGCTTGGCTACCCTGGCTTAGCCACATTTCGTTGTATTTTGTGTTGCATATTACATTGCACCTTGCGTTTCGTGACTGAACATAATTGCCTTAACTGCAAACGAATAGCTGATCAATTTGTAATATATAAACTCATTTATGGTTTGATTCCTCAATTGTGATGGCATGAGAAATTAGAAACATGAAAATCTCTTTCAGTTTCTGTGAACTTCTATTTACTCTGTTTCAGAATATAAATCAACATTTTCAATGTCATGAAGAGCTTCACTGCTGAAGCTACTGATTCCCCATTTACCTATCGAGGTACTGGTATTATAAATGGAGACTATACTCAGGCTTTTCTGGTGGTGATATACCTTTAGCATATTTAAGAACAGGGCCTCGAAAGTTTAGCAAATTATACCTAAGTTGTACTAAAATCTGCTAGAAAATTCATTATTAATTTAATCTTATTTTATAATTTAAACTGACTTCTTATCTTTTAATTAGAGTGTATTTATAAGATAAACTTCACAAGTTTGATTTTTATTATTTTAAAATTAGTATTGTTTTCGAATATATTTTTGTAGTTTTCCTAATGAATTCTTATAAGGAGAATTTCCAAGTTTTGCAATCCTAAAATTAAAAACATATATTGTTTATACCGATTTCTTGATATTTTTTGGCATAAAGTCATATTTTTGTTAACAACTCCCAAAGTTTATACAAATATTATCAATTCCATTTTGTGCCATGTCGTAATACCATTTAAGCTCAACTGATATGCTGTTAATGCTGGAAGTTGCTGCCTAATCCTTTAGACAATTAAAAGCCAAAACATTGAAGCTTCTCTGAGCTATGCATCCTGACACTCCCACCAAAGCGTAGACCAGCAAATACCATTTTTCACTTAATTTGGCACATTAATATTTAATTGTGTGTTTGCGAGTAGCGAGGTGTGTGTGTGTGGGTGTGCTTATGTGTTTGGATGGGGAAAGTCAATTCTGAGCACGTCACGTTAGCAGCCTTTGCCAGCTGCCAACAGCTGCTGCCAGACTTTGAAGTGCGTCTCCTAGCTTACCCATTACCCAACCTATTCCCGCTGCTGCCTTCACTATCAACTGACATTGACAAGTTTGGGGACTATGCTGTCGCGGACTACGCTTCCTTTTCCGCTTTTGTTTCGCTCTTCACAAATTGCACGTGTACGTGGCTTATGCATAACCACAAAATGTTGAGTCATGCTGCCACCCACTCACTCGTACGTCGTTGCCGTTGCCATTCAGTTTTTTTCTCCGTTGAGTCGCAAAAAAGAAATCCTGTCACCAATGTCAGAGACATTTGCTCCATGCTGAGCAGCACAGCAGCAGGACAAGATTCTGGTGGTTGGTTTCCAGTTTCCAGTTGACTTTTGCACGCTTTCCGGATCGATACCAAAGAGAGTGGCAACAGAGACTGACAGACAGAGAGAGAGAGTGAGCGAAAGAGAAAGAGAGAGCTAAAGATTGGGTCGCTCTCCTTTGCTCTGTTGCGTCTGTAAAACAAAACGAAATGTGCACATGTGATATGCTTAAACCAATAGAGGAGCAGAGGACGCCATCCTCGCCTGCTGCCTTTGCCGTTGCCGTTGCCGTGGTTCTTGTTGTCCTTTTGCCAGCCTATTTAATAATTGTGCATTCAGTAAACGTGGCCTGAGCCTTTGCGAATCAGACGCGGCCCCCAAAACAGCAATCAACGTTAAATCTCTATAATTTTCGTTGAATTAATTAATTCAATTTTGGCTGCCATGCATAAATGCTGCTCATTAAACTGCCAAATGAAATCGCCGCCATATAAAGGTCTTAATAACACCTTACTCTAAGGGCTCAGCCATAAAAAGCGCATTCCAAGCATAAATTAGCAAGTTTTGAGCTTATTTAGCTCAGCTTCTCTTATTTGGGATAAAAAAAAATGTTGAGTCATTTGTCGACTCAATATAACACTTTAGTTATATATATATTCCATATATAATTTATAAATATTGTACAGAACATGACAATTTTTTATATTTATTTTTTTTAATATTAAAAATTCAATTTTCTTTAAGATTTCTCTTTTTCTTAAATATGAATTATACGAAACACGTTCGAAAGAAATGCACACTATTTATAAGAAGTCGAGTCGAAATGGATTTCGAGTAGCATGATAGCTGCCTGGCCCCGATTTTCATCCTGCAAAGCCTTCACCTGTATGCGCGACGCCAGGGCCAACGATGTTGGCTTTGCCATTTGCGCGTTTTCAAGGACATTTACACTATTTGCAGTTGCTCTCTGTGACTGCGTATGCCTTTGCTTGTGTGTGTGTGCGAGTGTGTGTGAATGCCCTTGCATTCGTTGTTATTGCTGTTGTTGTTTCCATTGCCAGTGCTTGCTGCGTATTTTTTAAAATGACGACAACAAAAACAATGAAAACAAAGCTAGCGCCTAAATTGCTACGCAAATAAGCAGGACGAAAGGCTCGCCTTAAAAGAGGCTATGTTATTTTAAGAATTCTCTTTGTCACAGCCTTTTATTAATTTATGCTTATGCACACAAAAACACCAACATATGTGTCTGTGTGTGTATGCCAAGTTTTTGAAAACTTTTGATTGTCGCACAAACAATAAGAACAACAACGAAACGAGTTTATTTTGGGTAGTCATGAAAAATAAATCTGGTCAATATTGGCATTGATTCAATTCGAAATTGGCTCGCATTGCTTACCAACATCAATAGCCAATCAAATACCTACGCAGAAAAAATCATTTTGCATTTGGTAATAGCTTTGCAGAGGCATAAAATGTTATTTGCCATTTGTTACTTGTTCCTGAAGTGAAGAGAGTATATTGTATATCGTCCAGATACTTGCAATTTTTTATATTTTTTATTTATTTATTATATTTGGTTATATATTTTTATATTTGTTATTCACCGAGAGACAAATTAAAATAGATACTTGTGTAAAGTCGACTAAAACATGGTAAGCCTTGTAGTAGGCGTGGCCTCCGAATCAGCTCATCGTGTAGCTGCATTGCTATTCAGCTCTTGTACACTTCGACCTTTGAATTTAACATATGGTTAACAAGTCGAAAAATCGATTTTCTAATCAGTTTCGCGCACTTTGATATAAAACAGAAACAGATATTCGAAAACTGAAATAATTGGCTTTT